TGGTTATTTCCATTCAACAGCCATTGGTGGTTCAGTGGTAGAATGCTCGAATTCCACGAAGGCGACCAGGCTTCGATTCCTGGCCAATGCAGGGTTTCGAATATCGCCCTTTATTGTCCACCTATTAGGTCATTCGTTCGCTCGCTGTACAACAGTTTAATTCCATCCACAGGCATTGGTGGTTTAGTGGTGGAATGCTCGCCTGCCACAGAGGCGAGCCGTGTTCGATTCCCGGCTGATGCAGTGTTTTGGAGTCGTGCCATTCTGTAGGCCTATTTAGTCACTCGTTAGCTCGGGGTCTAGGTGGTTGATTCCACGGCAAGCACTGGTTGTTCAAATCTGTATGGCAGTCAGGTAATCATTGCCTCTTCCAAAAGCCCACCATTTTTAATGTGCCTCCAACTGAGGAAAAGTCTCTGATCAAGGTCGCATTTGGTTGACGACTGCACCTCCCCACATGAACAATCGGTACGAATGTACGGAGCGAGATTACGAATGATCTCGGGCATTCTTCCCTGATGTTCATTATAGGGCTTTTGCATTCATCCAAAAAGCCTCAAAAAACTTTCGCGCTGGTGTTTTGGCATTCTGTGCATCCATGGATCTTCCATACATGAGGGATCCCGATAGCCGGCTAGTCGGGAGTCTACGTGGTGCGTCACTAGATGGCGGTTAGAGTGTTATTCGCGGACCAAGTGCGACCTTTACTTCCATGAGATGCAGGTGGTACCAGGGTTTGATTTCTCCCTGTTTCTGCTGCTCCTATTTGGAACATACTTTTTGTATTTATGAAACGTATTCGTGCACGCGTGTGTGGGCGCTTTCTGGTTTATGTGGTTTGTATTTTACCAGTCAAATCAAGAAAAACCATGCAATGAAGTGAGAGGAAAGCATATGGGAGGTGGTTAAGAGTCGCCTACAACGAATGAGCTCCCTGTCTGCTCTGTGAGAGCCTGGCAAGCTACCCGTTAGCATACCCCCCTCCCACGCTAAGAGCCCACAAAGTTTTACGTTGGTATCAAAATGCTAAACACAGTAAAAAAAAACGAGCCTCATTCCCCTGACTCCGAAACAGCACCATTTCGGCAGCGTTAAGATGGACGAGTACGGAGTGGCTACTAAAGTCTTAGGGCGATTCTATACTGCCAATGCACGTGCACTTGCATCCTAACCTCGGTAGAAGACTTGCTCATACAAGCAAGAAGGATAAGGTACAACGTCATCGCCCTGGCCGAAACGAGACGACGCCACCCATTCAACGTCGTCTATGACACCGGAGAAAAACTGTTTCTCGGAACATGCGACAATGGAGGAGTCATCAGCGTCGGCGTTCTCGTCAACACGAGTTTGTCTATGAACATCGATTCATTCAACAACTAACGATCCGAATAGGACGTTTACGATTAAAGAGATGTGGATCAATACCGGTTATGACAATCTTCGTCGTTTACGCGCCGTGATCTCACTATGACGAAGAAGAAGTCGCGGTATTCAACATAGACATGAAGAATTTTTACACAGAAGACCGTATATTCTTCGAGGTCATTCGGAGATTCGGAGATATCAACGCCAAGGTTGGACCAAGAATTCTTACTTCCTTGATACTTGAACGACTCGTCCTCACTAGTGCGGGCCCCAGCATAATCACCATTTTTCGGAAATTTGCTGGTTAAGCCATTATGTTTTCCTAGAATCCCGAGGACAGTGTGGCCAAAGTTTGCCTCAGGTTATCTCCACGACAGGCAGTTGCAGCCCGCCCTTGTAGATCAGAGGGAGATTTGCCACCATGCGACTTTGATGCCAAAACGGTGTTGGATCCTGGTTTTGGTTTACTATTAGCTAGGCATCGTAATAGAAACGCCTGACTCCATCTCAGCTTGGAAGACCCTGCGGGAGGGACGAATCCCCGTGCTGTATATCGCAGTCCGATACCCAGGAACACCTCCTAGCCACGATGAGGCGGTAAACCGTTTGGAGCAGACCAAGAATAACGTATTAAAAACGTCACGCTGGGTTCCACGGATTAGATTGGAACGAGCAGGGTGAGCGGGTGTCTTAGTTTATCATAAACACCAAGACCATCCAGGGCAACTCGCAATTCTAAAAGCACCACCCTTAACGTAGGACGTGGGATTCTCCCCAAGATGATTGCACTCCGATGCACAGACGGAACGGTAGCAGCGTCCAGAAAGGCAGTGGAGAAAATCGTTCCCGAATACCACTCAGTTCTCTTCGATAGCCTCGTCCACCTTCTGTCACATGAAATAAAGGAGAATGGATATGTTGTACCACCGGTTCTCCTTTCCGAAATCCGATATGCGACAGGATGTGATCAGAACACTTGAAGAACCTTCGATCAGTCCTCGTAAACACACTGCTGGCTCGACTCTTCACACGTTACCTGTCTGAATGCAAGGTCCCTACTCAGTGGAAGACCAGCAAGAGCGTGTTATTGTTCAAGATGAGTGACCTACATGATATCAGCAGCTATCGCCCAATCTGCTTGCTGTCATCTATACTTTTTTCTCGAGTCATCCTAAACAGGATTGACAGAACACTGGATGAAGGACAGCAATGTGAGCAACCAGGTATTCGGAAAGGATTTAATACGATGGACCACATTCATACGATAACAATACTCGTTGAGGTATCGCAAGGGTACAAAAAACCGCTCTACCTCACTTTCATCGATTCAAAGACTCTTTGGCTCAATTGAGATAGAAGCAGTCATGGAAGCCTGGGTAGTTAAGAAGCGAGGTTTATAGAAAGTCAGTCTTTTGAGATTTATGATAGTTACAGGTGAAAAGCAAACACACACTAATATAGAAAATAGGAGCTATTTGATGAATAGTTCCTATACGTTATGAAGACACTGGGATGAGATAATATGGGAGTGAAATCGATGGCCAGCAGTTACACCATCTTCGCTTTGCTGAAAACATTAGCCAAGCTTCGTGAATGCTCTCCGACTTTGATGAAGCCTGTGGAAAGATTGGTCTTCGACCATATGTCACGAAAACGATGTTCATGAAAAGCGGATTGGTTTCGCACACCTAACTCACGCTTAACATAGCGAACATGTCTGAGCGCTCCAGTTACGTCTATCTAGATCGGAAAATCAACATTATGAATGGATTAGCTCCAGAGTTGAGCAGAAGGAAACGAGCGGCTTGGGAAGCTTTCAGGAGCATCGAGAATGTAGTGAGCAGAGCAAAGAACACCCGACTCCGTGCCCATATTTTCGACTCAGCAGTACTTTCTGCCTTAACGTATACATTAGAATCTTGGTCGCTGCTTAAGCAGGATAAAAGATCACCCAGCATAATTGAACGAGTAGTCGAAAGGACGATGCTAAGAGTATCCCGGGTCACACAAGTAAGGGAAGGGATCCGAAGCCCCGACCTGCGTCAACAATCAAAAATCGAGGATGCCGTTCTGTACGCCAGACAGTCGAAGATAATGTGGGCAGAACACGTAATGCGTATGAATGGCAACCGATGGACAAGAGCCGTTAGTGACTGGATTCCTCGCGATGTAAAACGTACTGCAGGAAAACCACCGACGATGGTCAGAGTTCTTCACAAAGAGCCTTGGAGAAAGATATGATGCTCGACGAGTCCCTAAAGCGAGCAGAACCCACTGGGCTCTTCTTGAGCCAGACAGGGAATAATAGAAGAATTACTGGTGCCCGCTCCAGTCACTTGACGATCAACGGACCTATAGGTGATACAGGTGATCCTAAAAGCCTCGGTTTGAGTTTTTAAGTTTGCGCGCGGTGTTTGGCATCCTGTGGGTGCATAGTGACTTTTATATCAAAATCGCCTTAGGTATGGTTTTATATACTATGCGTTCCTATTAGGGCACTTTGTCTTGTTTTTTGTTTACCATCTCGGTGCTGTTTTATACGGATACATAATGGTCGTCTGCCCGTTTCGCTAAAATATTCATCTCTGAAGCACCACAAGAGATCAGATGTATCGTGCCTAAACTCATGCAATCACTATCTCTACCATAAGGCCAAATTACACAATTTTGTGTTCAACATAGACGGTAAAATATGCGGTTGCGAACTAACTGGCGAGGAACGGTATCCGGTTATATTTCTACTATGGCAACCGATCGTTTTATAGCTGCATTTACTTCATCGCTAATAATGGGAAACATAAACGTGGTTTTCTTCAGGACAACTCTTTCGCTTTGAGGCGTCGCTATCCTTCTAAACTTATCTCGTCTTACCGTGCGTAGCCATTATAGATGACCATTTTCCTAGCCAAGTCGCGCGATTCCTTCCTTTAGCTCTCTCTTCGCACACACAGAGATGGATGTTTGAAACGTGTTTCTCACAAGCACCTTCTTTGTGTGTGACGGGTGGAAAGAGAGAAAATGAACAAGGATGTTCTTGTTACCTGGTTTTCCGTACCGGTGCTCCTAGCGTTGTTCAGTCCATGATGATTGTTGCTCGCAATCAGCTTCGTTAAGCATAGTTAGATCAGCATATTAGAGCTTCAGATCAGTGTGGTACTATCTTTTCTATACTGAAATATTTAAAGGATACGTGCACCCGGAGTGCTGGGTCGAACCATTGACCGTGCGTGTTGATGGTCATCTTTATCCAATGCGCCGCGCGCGGGTCACTTAGCCAATACTTAGTGGGAAACAATTAAAAAAGATCTTAGCACAGCTAATTGCTTCATAATCATGTAAAAGTGTTTTTCGTTAAATAATTCTTCAATATTTTATCCTTTCCATAAACATCGCTTTTGAAAAAGAAAAAGTACTGCGATTGTCTCGAAATCTGCATTAAATTTAAGCGTTGCCATGGTTATCACTGTTGCGTAAACTATTTTCAGTGATGTGCTAGAAAATGGAGTTCTTAGTACACATAACGAGCTAGGGGTAACTCCATGAAAGAACTATGACAACATTAAAAATACTAAGGAAAAACGGAAATTAGATCAATCAAGTATTTCAGAGACAATTCAGTGCCTATGGCTCGGAGACTACGGTGCCTTTGTAGTGGTAGTCACAGTAGGTTCGATGGTTTTTTCCCAGTCATACAAGTCCTTGATGTCGCCTCCAGCTGATTTTGCTCCCTGCAAAATTGTTGTTTTGGCGAAAATATCGAAATAACATCTTTTTGCTCTTGTTAGCATTCCTTGTATAGAGGGGTCGATGTGATTTTGCTCACCAAGAGCCCATGTATTGGTTCTACTCCGCACCGGGCTCGCAAATGCTCTTATTTCTCCATAGTACCGAATTTGATACCAGACCTCTCTGGAACCGGTTCTCCCTCTCTAATGCATGTGGGAACGGTCTAGCATGGGTATCCCGAGAGTCAAGGGAGACTCAACCCAACCAGCGTTCAACAACAATGAAAAAATTCCTCAAGCAGTACTTTAACAAGCGTCCAAAACTTCAAAGAGCTTAGTTCGTACTGGTGCAAAAAACTGCTGGAATGTAACGAATGTTTGGATCCACACAGTACATGTGAAGATGGGCTGGTATGCTAAAAAAAAATTGAAAAATCTGCTAAAAGTCCAGTTGTTCACAACGATGCCATTCCTATTGGGCTCTGCTATTCTTAGATGATCAATGATTTCATTCTTTTCATATCACTTAGATAATAACCGTGCCCTTTAAAACTACTTTTAACTTTACGAATTTCTTATTCCGACACCTTTTCAAGAATGTTTTACTTCACTTTTGGCGTCCAACCAATTTCGCTCACTGCGCTGTTCTATTCTATGCGTAGGAGAGAACCATAAATTACTTGTGTATTCCAGGGTTGCTCTAACCATTGTGCTGCACGCCTCTCGAAAAAAAGTGCAGCCGTCGATTCTATACCACATTAGAAGCAAAGCCATTAGTACAATTAAACTTTTCGAACCTGTTCTGATAACTTATAGATAAACTCGTAATCGACGCGGTCGTGATACTTCAAGCTGTCGATGTAGTCGAGCATCTTGCTAAGTTCCTCTTTACATGGCAGTCCACCAAAAGCGGCATCCTAGAGCACTGGCGTTTCTTAGTATTATACAATTTCCAGAAAAGATGACGACGATATTGGCGACGAGGATAGTGATGAGCTGCGAAAAATTAGTAAGAAAATGATCGCTTTCAGTCATTTACATCACAAATATTATCGCTTGATAGCGCTAAGTGAAATTTCGTACCAATCGATATCCAGTCTTGAAACGCAAGGGGTTAGATAACTTCGGATTAGATAATTTGTTTTCAGCACTTCTTCAGTAGCCGCAGTTATGAACGTGCAGGTTTTTACTTTTATAGAATGAATAGAATTGGCGCTTACCCTTCTCTCTGGGCTGCGCATTTGCTCCTTAACTTTCAGCACGTCATCCTTCTCGCTTTTTGATTTCCATAGTAAACCTACACACATTAACATTTAGTATAGAAATTTCCAAAGCTTTATGATTTACGGGATTCGCAGATGTAATATTCCACTATTTGTTAGTTTTCATAAAAACTGTATGTTCCTTTTTCTTAGGGTGTGATGACGAGTTGATCCTCTGCGAAGCTCGTCCAAGATGTAAAGATAATTGACTTCGGAAGTCTTACTACTAAAAAATTTCGCCGCTGTCCTTGAAAGAAGTACAGTTGAAAAGGATAAAAGGTTTCTTGACCTATTTCGTTACATTTCGCATCGCACCCTGCCGTAAAACATTAAGGTAGGAGCAAATAAAAGTTAGCATTACTATTTAACTGTTTCTCTTCATTTCTTTGCTATTCATGTGGGCTACAACTTTGGGTGAAAAATTTCCTTTCTAAGCTTGTACTGAAGAACATTTTAGCTCGCGGATTTTCGATAGGAGAACTCACCTCCCGACACGGTTACATCCAATATTAGATAAAACCACGATTCACAGTCATCTTTCGGACCCATCTCGACATTCTTATGGCATGCAATGGAAGCAAATCGAATCGTTCCCTTAATAAATAAATTGCTCAAAAGTTTTCAATTAGAGAAGTTGAGAACTTAAATCTTTGAAATCGACTCTCCTTAATGACCGCTATTTTCCTATAAATCAAAAGAGTGACATTTTCTAAAGAAACGACAAATGTTTGTTATGAGCGCCGCATTATCCTCTCTTTAGAACGAGAACTGCTGTGTCGAATCCTCATCACAATCATCGGCACTTTTTTTTTACCCTATCTAAAAGTAAAAATACATGCTGCTGGTATTTGGCTGAGTACAATCGCTGTTACTTGTCATCCCTAGATTACGTTAGTTCCTTAATATTTGACTTCTTGCAATCTTTTAAATGTCGTAACCGTTAAGCGAACACCTCACAGAATAGTTATAAATATGATGCAAAAGGAAATTCTTTAAAAAAATGTCTTCGTCCTTCACAAAGCATCAGCTCGTTGCCCGGTCCTATATGTGGAGCAACAGCAAGGTTAGCGGGCGCATTTTAAGCGCCCAGATTATGGAGTGGCGGAGCATGTAGGTCAACTCAAACACGTACCTTAAATCGTACTGTTTGTCGTGGCGTTTTTAGTTCACCTTTCACATTCGTGATCTTCCTTGCTATTCCAAAATCAAGTATGTACACCGGAAATTACTACTATTAAAATTCACAGAATTCACATTTTTAGATTTCTTGGTCCCATACTAACAATGTTTGTCGATCTCTGGTTGAACAAATCTTAGTCCTATTCGAAAGCGTCGATGATAACCTTAGCATTTGATGAACAAAGCGTTCGCGACAACGAGGCCTTTATAGACGTAATTTGCAATGGAACATTGTGGCCGGTATGACGTCTATAGAGGTAATTTTCTCTCCGGTAGTTTAATTTAGCACAAAGAACCTTTGGTTCTTTAATTACTATCGCCTACTGTCGAAGGACTCTCAGGTCCGTAACAGACAAAAATTAGATGACGCAAATGTGTTAAGAGAATTGAATGTGATATTCGTTAATTACTGGAAAAACGCTAGTTTCCTCTCTACTCTGTTACTTTATACCGCCTTTTGAGCACAAGTTCCACAGAAATCCTTGCGCAGAAAAACATCACTTGAGGAACAAGTGATCCATGAAAAAATCGAGTCGATGATTTCACAAATTTCGGAAAGTAGGAGAATATTTAAATTATTGTTACGAACTTCAGGTACTGCAGTAGATTTTAATTCCTCACCACCCGCCTTTTATCTCCCAAACCACATGCGTAATTGGCAGGCTTTAAATCTCGATGTATAAATCCGTGTTTGTGTAAATCCTCACATGCTTCTAAGCATTGTATTCCTGCACCCATGCTAGTTGGTACTGTGAACACCTGACAATAGGAGAACCTTTCTCAAAATCTGCAATAACATTGGTAAGTGTAACCGATCGTACTTTGTTAGGGCGTGATGCTTTCAGATCGGCAAGACTTTTACCGACTAACTGCATAACTAGAAAGAAAAACGTTTCCTTTTTTCCTCGATCGACAATCGTGGTGAAATGAGACTGTTTTCGCTGACCAGATACGAGTTTAAGTATTGCAATCTGAAAGATAAGACGTATCAATCGTTTCATAGTTGATTGTTAGGCCTAACCCCTTCCACGATTTCAGTTTAACCATTATGAACAGCTTGTTGAACATGACGCTTTCACTGGAACCCGAGAAAATCTTACTCAGACTCTCCCATTTCATCGCATTTCCATATCATTTCATCGCAAGCAGTTGCTGCCATTTGCAGACCCATGAGGGACTTCTTTCAGTCAGGTACCCATTTTTAACCACTAAGAGATGAAGGACGTGATGAGCCCGAGAACTGGAATCCAGCCAGAGACCGATCTACTATGTATTGCAAGATCTCTCTAACTACTGCCCTATAAAAGCAACATAATTGATGCTAGTACTATTGTTCTCACTATTATTAATCAAGGGATGGAGGACATACGACAATAAGCGGAGCGCTTTTAGCCTTTTCGTCACTTGGAGGACAAAGGTTGAAGCTTTCGACTGTGGTGAGGGTTTACCATACCTGTGACTTCTTTCGTACCATCATAAAAAAGTGATTAAATGCATAACAGATTTTTAGAACAAATCGCGGTGGCTTATCGATGAATAAAATCGGTGTTTCCATTCTTCCGAACAGCACAAATACCAGTTTACTACACCATTCGTTGGCCGAATGCGTGGGTTCCGTCCAACGACTATCTGTTTATTTCAGCGCGCCCCTAGTCAATGCCCTACACACGCAGTCAAAAAAATCTAGAACGCTTCACGAACATGTGCGTTGTCGTTTCACTAGACCCAAGCTGATCTCTTCTGTACTTTTTCGGTTTTCACACATGTTCTCAAACGAATTCGTTTTGCTAGTTCCTTCAAATAAATCCGGATGTTGTAACTTCTACTAAGTGCTTTTCTTTCACGACAAGATAAAGGATAAGGGATAAAGCTCTCGGCATTGATCCCTGAGGGATGCGCCATGCATTTGACTTCATTGACCATCGTTGGTAATCAATGAATGCATATCTGGCCTTTACTCGACTGACTCGCGATGGCCTACCGATGTATCGAGCCAATGCTGCTATCCTCCCAGGCAAGCCTGGTACCAATTTGCCGACCTCGGACGGATGAAAAGCTTGGTGGGCCATGGTCGCGGGGATCAATTTCACGTGTGTGTTGCACTGGCGCCTCCAACCACTGCGCCACACGCGCCCCTTTCACGACAGAGTACCAAAGGAATCTGAAGAACCAAGTTTTGCTCATATCTCGGCATACTTATGGCTGTAAATCCTAATATCTTATTTATTATGGAATCAACTTCGTGTCATTCTTCAAGAAAAAGGCAATGGAAGCTTCAGTAGCACAAGAAACTACATAGTAGTGAAACAACAAACTTCCATTTTCAACTTGGAATGTCGACGTTGCTCAATTTTCTTCTCGACTTTCATCGCGTACTCCTTCTTCGGATCTTTTTTGTCATAAACCCTAAGTGGAAAGAAGTAGATTATCATGTTTTTAGACACAAAAGAGTTTTTCTAATCACTTATACACGGCACCAAATCCTCCTTCGCCGAGTAGATTTACTACGACGTAGTTAGCTTTACTGGAGTCGATTACTGTACCCTAGACGAACCAGAATGAGTCATGCAACCATTACAGTGACTTGAGATGATGAGCAACTAACCGGTTTGATACCCAAATCGTCATCCTCTTCTTCGCTCATAAGTGATTCGCCTAAAAATGCTTTTTCACTTAGGAAATCCTTTTATAGTGGAGATAGATGTAATCAGTAAATAGTGCTGTTAATAAGCTGATTCCAGTATCTACTATTTGTGGTTGTTTAGATTCATTTTTCGTTTCACATTGTTCAGTTGTTCCTCTCTATCGATGTCAACCGTCTCATTCGAAGTTGCTTCTGGATGCAATGAGTAGAGGCTTTCGTTTCGCAAGATGGTTTCCCGCTTAGCACCTAACTACAACTAACGTATTCATGAAAATTTGTTGTTGGTGGCTTCGATACATCGGTAACAAGCAAATTGTTGACGGAATAGGTTACACGCGCTTTAATCCTGGACGAACTTTCCGCTAATTATCCGTCCTAATTGTCACCGTCTTTTTCACAAACACATTCATCTTAGCAAACTTGGCTTTTGTCTTAGTTTTTGAAGAGGATCTTTGAACAAGAATATCAGTGAAGCTCACTCCTTTTCATTTAGAGGTTGTAAACAAGTAGGATGGTTGTAGGTCTGATGCTTTTAATGAGAAAAGGGTTCTAGAATGTCAAAACATTCAACATTCCTTTATGATTTGTTATGTTGAACAGAGGAGTTTTAAATAGTCTTGCAGTTCAGCAACTAGGCCACATGGTCCAGAAGAGACGAATTCGTCATGCGCACTATGCATAGCTCTAGATGCATAAAATTAGCGCCTTTAGCAGTCCTGTTGGCTGTCGATTGACTGTGGCGGACGCCGGCAAATCTTCCATTCTTTCCTGTCTCGTGCGAGAGTAGCCCAGTGGGTTCTGCTCTCTCTAGGGACTCGTTTACCATCATATCTTTCTTTTAGACTTTTCGTGAAGAACTCTGACCATCGGATCGGTGGTCTTCCTGCAGTGCGTTTGACATCCCGACGAATCCAGTCACTAACGGCTCTTGTCCAACGGTTGTCATTCATACGCATTGCGTGTTCGGCCCACCTTATTTTCGACTGGCGTACAGAACGGCATTTTTGATTTATGATCGTTGACGCAGATCGGAGCTTCGGATTCCGTCCCCTTGTTGGGTGACACGCGTTACTCCTAGCATCGTCGTTTCGACTGCTCTTTCAATTACGCTGGGTGATCTTTCATCCTGCTTAATCAGCGACCAAGATTCTGATGCATACGTTAAGGCAGGAAGTACTGCTGAGTCGAAAAGATGGGCACGGAGTCGGGTGTTCTTTGCTCTCCTCACTACATTCTCGATGCTCTTGATAGCTTCCCAAGCCGCTTGCTTTCTTCTGCCCAACTCTGGAGCTAATCCGTTCATAATGTTGATTTCCCGATCTAGATAGACGTAACTGGAGCACTCGGAGATATTCGTTCACTTGAGCGTGAATGGGGCATGCGAAACCAATCCGTTCCTCATGAACGTCGTCTTTATGAAATTTAATCGAAGATCAATCTTTCCACAGGCTTTATCAAAGTTAGCAAGCATACGTTCTGTTTGGTTTTGCTCTAGGAACGATGTCATCAGCAAAGCGAAGAAGGTGTAATTGCCGACCATCGATTTTCACTCCCATATTATCCCATTCCAATGTTCGCATGACTTTCTAGAGGGTGGCGGTAAATAATTTTGGAGAGATGGTATCGCCTTGCTTAACCCCTCTTTTGACGTCAATGTTAATACCGTTGTAGAATGATGATATCGTGGTTGTGAAATTTTTGTACAGTTCACGAAGAATCTTTATGCATTGAGTAGGTACACCTTGACTTTCAAAAGCTTTTATGACTTCTTGTATCACAACTCAATCAAAGGCCTTTTGTAGTCCGATGAAAGTGAGACAGAGCGGTCTTTCGTACTCTCGCAATACTTCAATGAGCCTTGTTACCGTGTGGATGTGGCCCATCGTACTAAATCCTTTCAGAAACCCCGCTTGCTCACATGGCTGTCCTTTGTCCAGTGTTCTGTCAATCTTGTTTAGGATGACTCGAGCGAAAAGTTTGTAGACGACAGACAGCAAGCAGATTGGGCGATAGTTTCCCATATCGTGTAGGTCACCGTTCTTGAACAATAACACGATATTGTGATCTTCCACTGAGTAGGGACCTTGCATTCAGGCAGGTAACGTGTGAAGAGCCAAGCTAGTGTGTTTACGAGGACTGGCGGAAGGTTCTTCAGGTGTTCTGATCTTATCCTTTCTGGGCCTGGTGCTGTTAGATTTTTCACCGACGAAATCGCATGTGGCATTTCGAGAAAGAGAACCGCTGGTACAACATATCCATCTTACGTTATTTCATATGAGGACAGGAGCCCTCATATGAAATATGAGAGGGCTAATAAAGAGATTTGAGTAGTAATCGTAAACGATTTTTTCTATTGTTTTCTGGAAGCTGTAGCTGCTCCATCTGGGCTCGGAGTGCAGTCATCTTGGTCTTATAATTGGCGAAACTTCGCTGGGCTTTGCGAATGCTTTTCCCAGCCTCTGCAAATTCGACCAATACTGCCGCTGTTCTCTCTTTAAGATCTTTTTTTATAACCTTTCTGCATTGTTTTGCCAGTTCGTACGTTAGTTCGTGGTTGACTGCAGCTCGTGCGATTCCACGCCGGCTTATCAGCTCGAGAGTTTCTGGAGGCAGACGTCTCTTGGTGACTTTCGAACTCTCAGCTTTCATAGCGCTGAAGTGAAGACGTTGAATGAGGTGATCATATTCCTTGTCGATGTTATCGACAACGGCATCTTCCCAACATTTGACTAATGAATTCAATAAGTCCCAGTTTATGGTGGTTTTGAGACTTCAGTGTTTGGATTTGGCGGCTTTCTCTCCTTTCTGCGAGAAATGGAATCTTGCACGAAAGGGACGGTGGTCTGATCGCGTGTGGAATTTTATGGCAACAGCGACATCGGTTAGGCAAAACCTTCTATTTATTATGATGTGGCGTATTTCGTTATGGTACTCTCCACTGCGAGATTACCACGTCCAGCGCTGAGGGTGAGGCTTCTGGAATTGCGAGTTACCATGGATTGTCTTCGTCGCCACGATAAACTCAGACAGCCGCTCACTCTGTTCGCTCCATTCCAATGTGTGGGTCCCAATGTGACGTTCTTCAGACGTTCTTCTTGCTCCAATCTTGGCCTTGAAATCTCCAATGATCACCTTGAAGAATGTGTGGTATTCTCTGTAGAACTTCTCCAAGTCCATATAGAACGCTTGGACTTCTTCTTCGTCATAGTTTGATGTCCGGTCGTAAACCACGAAGATTGTCAAAGCCGGAATTGATCGACATCTTTTCAACTGCAAACGTCCGATTCGGGTAGTAAGCTGTTCGAATGAATCAATTTCATGGACAAACTCGTGTTGACGAGAACGCCGACACTGCCGACTCCTCCATTGTCGCATGTTTTGAGAAACAGTTCTTCTCCGGTGTCATTGACGGCGTTGAATGGGTGGCGTCATCTCGTCTAGGGCAGGCCGATGATGTCGTACCTTATCGTTCTTGCTTTCATGAGCAAGTCTTCTATCGAGGACTCGGATGCAAGTGTATGTGCGTTGTAGGTACAGATCGCCACCTTAGTTCTTTGCAATGCATACAGCATCCATTGGCCCTGAGATTTCAGCACCCTCTCCGTTCTTGTCCTACTCAACGCTGCCGGGGGCTCTTTCGAGATCAAGAGGGCGACGCCCGTTTCTTTTACTGTTATTAGTTTTTTGATACCCACGTATAGCTTGCTGGGTTCTGAACGTGGGTGCTGGGTATACTCGCGGTAGTTTGCCAGGCTCTCCCAGAGTGGACATGGAGCTTATTTGTTGGAGGCGACTCATAACCGCCTCCTATATACTTCCCAGTCACTTGATTGCAGGCTTTTGACCGAATTGACTGGCAGAATACAATCCACATAAACAAGAACGCACCTACACACGCATGCATGAATAAGCCTAGCAAATACAGAAAGTATGTGCCAAATCAGAGCAGCAGAAACAGGGAGACCATCCCCTAGTTCCAACTGCGTCTCAGGGAAGCAAAGGTCGCTTTGGGTTCGCGATTAACCCGCTATCCGACACCTGGTGACGCGTCACGTAGCCTCGAGACTAACCGGCTATCATGATTCCTCATATGAGAAAAATCCGTGGACTGGTTGGTAATAAACATTAAATAATTTCACTATCAAATAGTTGTAAAGAAAATAGGCTGCCGGCGCACACTGAAGAACTGAATTCACCGTGCAAACAGGCGAGCACTGAATGGGTTAGGTGACGCAAAAATTAGAAGGGCTGGAAGATCTCTGTGACCATTAAAAAAAATCGAAAATAGGACAAATTATTCCTTCATAACCACTTCATCATGATCGATGTCGTGCGTTTTAAGTTATCGTTTTATTCCCCGGGTGGAGCCGTACAACGAAACTGCATAAATGGCCGTCATCACCGCTTGTTTCATTACCGAAAATTATAAATATTCCAATGTTTACTCTGGTTAACACTGCATAATGCTGAAAAAATAACCACCTTTCACTGTATCGCCTGTGTGACATGAATTCCTGTAAACTTGACAAAATTTCCATATTTGGACCACGCGTTTCATCTCCTCGTCATTCCTGCTCTACCCTGAATAATATTCCTTCAAATTACCCCTATACAAAAATTAACCTAAAACATAGCGCTTTACAATAGTCATCGCACGAGATCAATTATTATTTGTGGACTACTGCAATGAAGTACTACAGAAAATCAAAACTTCATCGCGACTAATGTATACACATCACTAGATATTGGACTACTAAAAAAGGTTACTTCACGCCATCCCTGTCGTCCCGACTTAAACAAGCGTATTGTTGGAGTCCGTTGCTGCTTCCGTCCCGATGCACGGCCAAACAACTAGAAACATGAGGCTATGCTGTGAAAGACTAGTACAAATACTGTAATCTAGCTACCCATCATTGCCTGTGAAGGCCAATATAAAACAGGAAAACTATGGTCGTGAGAGTCAGAACGGCGGATATGTTACTATAAAAAATCCTCAGAATTTCCTGGAAAGGCTAGCCCATTCCGCTGTTCCATGCTGAAGCTAAAGTCTGCCATGGCTCTTCAGATTGCAACAACCACCCTTTACCTATAAAACAAAGTAAAAATTAAACACGAAACAGAAAACTAAAGGTTGAGAAACAAACGTTTCTCTTTTGCACAGAGCTAGCTCATTGGAAAAGTAAGTAAAGAAGTCTAACAGCAGAATATATTGACAAACCGTCAAGAGGGTGATTCAATGAGTCAATTATGTCAACCAGCAGGTTATCCGTAGCAATTAGGTGATCTACTACGCTGTCTTTTTTCAGCTTACCGGTGAAATTTAGGTAATATAACTTCAACCAATCAAAAACTCGATCACCAACAACTTAGCCTAGGAATTAGGCGCATATAAAGATCTAACATTTTGGTATTGTAAGTTCGAAGTACTGAATTGATGGCTTATCCTATTTTAATGTATATATCATGAGCACTCATCTTTGGCGAATTTCGGTACCCAGCGATTGACATCGGCACCCATGTGAAAAAAATATGGATGATATCAGAGACACTCGTTCGCCAAAGTCCATATTGTGCGGAGAGCACAAATTCCTTCCTATAAAGGCAGGCCCAATTTGACTCGATACTTAATCCAACACCACCACGAATTCAATCATTCCTGAAAAGTCAGAAGTGGACAACTTGGAATTGAAACTGAAGCCTTGTTAATCTTGTGAAAGTTGTGAACATGTAGTTGAACACGCAATTGACGATGAGCATTCTACAGAGTCATACGCGGCACGCTGAATGGCCGATGTACTACATATGAGTTAATTTTTTCTAACGGTTTATTTTGGGATACACAACCCTTTCGAGAACCCTTTTAATGAATAGAATGCTTGTCCGACACATGTTGCAATGGCTGCTTGTCTGTAAAAGCTTTATTCTGCACTTAGAAACGTAGAAAAACTTTCCAAACTTTTATTTACTACCCATGCCTTTTTAATGGTGGGGTGTCTTACAGAATGCAATCACCATATTACTGAGATATGAGCCAAACTCGGTACCCTATGTGAGTTTCGAAAGCGCGATTAGCACTACAGAAGACTCGCGTGCTATCCATCGCACCAACAAAGGGCCCTTGATTCAACCTACTCTCAGCCATGTTTTCTCTAAAAAGAATTCCTCACTGAAAAGTTCATTAACTGATAATTTGATACCTAACTGTACTAACTGTGCTGTACTGTACTGAATACTGAATACTGTACTATACCATACTGTAATGCTGAATACTATACTATACTAATACTGGTTTCGAAATGTAACTGAATGCTATTTCAGCTTTAATCGTTTTAATAAATCACAATAGCCATATGAAATGGGCGATTATGTAAAATTCTGCTGTACTACAAATTCCTATCTAAAGTGCATTGCAAAGTGTGCAAAAAAAATTGACAAAGGAGCAAAATTCTTCTTCGGATCCTGCGCTCTTCGACATAACGGAAAGTAACTGAAGATTTTCAGAACTAATTTGAGTAAACGATAAACAACACTTCATATACAAGAACATCTACAGCGTATGATCGAAGCGGTGCTGTGAGTGCATCGAGAAGCCCGGTGTGAGAAACAGCGGAGAACATTTCAAAGGCGTAAAAGATAATTTGCTTATCACTACCAGGAAAAATCCGATAAACACTAAAATCTAGTGTTATAATTGAGCTACTGTGCCGAGAACAAGTTTATAAGATGAGTGAAAGAGAAACGAAAGAGAAGCATGGTGTGGTGGTGAACACGTTAGCCACGGGAATGGGTAATGGCGGGTTCGATCCCTACCGTAGACACCTGCGGTGCCGAGTTTTGCAAATATTTTAACATCAATGATGCTGAGGTGTTTGCATAACTCCGCGTCCTTCGTTTCGCCAGCCTCTTGTCTAGTTCTATCGATCAACGCCATCAGTAGTTATCCATCAACGGGATATTTTAGCATCATTGAGTCTATAAGATACTGTTAACATAACGTTTCTTTCAAGACATGACGTTTCTACAGAACTGGGCATTTTTTGCGCATGGAACGGACCATATTAATAGCTTTTTTACTGAGTGAACTTTATCTCCAATACAAATCGTTTTGAATCGATCGATGACTTACCTACCACGGACGTTGCATTGTGCATCACCGTAAAAGTTATTTCTATAAATCTAAATTTACAGTGCACATATTTTGGAATAGTTGGAACAGCGCTCGTTTCGACAAAATTTGCAACAATTCGATGTCATTTGCGAGCAAATGAACATCAAGAGTACTGCAGATAAGTAAAGTGCTAAACACCTCTTAGCGTTTCTTTAAAAATGTTGTCGAATGGAGGACGAGTGGACTTTCCCTTGGATTTTGAGACAGTGCTAGGGTGTTCGCAAGTGGATTAAACAGAGAGAGAGATAGAGAGGGAGAGAGGGAAAGAGAGAGAGAGAGCTTGTCCAGGACAAGTCTGGTATCATTCTCCGATGTCGGAGGGATGACAGACTTGGTAAGTGCGATGCGTGGTCGAACCAGGGGTTGGGTACGTTGTGCTGTCTGAATAAGGATTGGGATCACTACGACTGTGCTTTTGGCTTCCGAATTGACTCGCAGAATAGAATTCGCCAAAGCGAGAACACGCTCACGCACAAACGCATAAATACGCCCTCGTAGGTACAGATGGTACGTGTCAAATCGACGCAGCAAAAACAGTGAGTCCATACCTTGGCTCCATCTGTCTCTTAGTGAAGCAAATATCACTTTTGGTTAGGAATTAATCCCCTGTCCGCCACCTGGCCACGCTGCCTAGCAACTAAGCGACATGAGACCCCTCTACGAGGGAGATCCGTGGGATCAAAAGGCCTTAGTGAAACTTTTCGTTACATCAGAAGAGAGTTAGCGCTTTGGTACCTTTTATCTGTCGTTATTCTTTTCCACTCAGTCAACAGAAAAAGATAGAATTTACTCAATATATACTGTAGGCTCCCATTGACAGTTCTTCAACGACTTTGAAAAGCCACTTTTTAAGCATTCATTGATGGTTTTCCTATAAGGCAACTAGAATTAAATAGATAAAGATAAAGGATAAAGCTTTCGGCATTGATCAATCCTTGAGGGATGCGCCATGCATTCGACTTCATTAGGTATCGTTGGAGGTGAATGCATATCTGGCCTTTACAATGATTCGCAGTGGCCTACAGTGCTGCTAACCCCCCAGACAAGTCTGGTACCAATTTGCCGACCCTGGAGGGATGGAAGGCTTGGTGCGCCATAGGCAACGGGATCGATTCCACGAGTTTGTCGCAGTGGCGCCTCCTACTACCGCGCCACAAGCGCCCTAACTAAATAGACAAGGAAATAAACAAATGAAGAGATGGAATATTGCAGAAGTAATAAACCGATTTATAATTCCCTTTACTCGAAAAAAGCAGTAACCTACTCTGTTCATAGTGCTCCTCAACAATGCGTGGAAAGATTTCTCCAGACTTCTGAAGGGTGTGTTAACATTCTTTGGTTCCCTTGATTGCAAAATGATTTTTAATCTTTCGATTATTTGTACCAAACATAGGTGTTCAGTATAAGAACACAACAAAGTGTTTTATTTCAAATGTAAGTAACAATACGATACAACGTTAATCTCGAACTTATAACCCAGTTCTTTATGCTTAATTTTTTTCGAATATTTTTCTTATACTATGGAATGAGTCTCACTCAGTGGTTTACCGCCTCACTCTGGCAAAAAGATACTGTGAGGTGTTGTAGACTTCTCTACACAACAGAAAGTTCTTCTTCGTTTAGGTTTCAAGGACATTGGGCAGAAGATTGTCGTGTTGAACAGGGAGTTCAACTAATTATAGGTTAATGCCTATAATCGTTGTCATGGGGAAGAAATGTAGACCTGAAGGAGATTGAACTTCCTTCGATGTACAAGAGTTGACGCCTATAAGTCCTTGGATTTGACAGACAGCATAATTCCAATTCGATTGGAATCACATCTTTTGTGAGAGCTGGCCATTCAAGTTCCTAAGCAGTAACGTAATGAGGAATGACTTGATTGAAAGTCACTAATAACGGAATCCAGTTCGAACGTAAAGAAATAATCAACAGAACAGAAAACAATAAACAATAACACTGTGCAGTAGGTATTCAACCAGCATCGCATATTTGTGGACATTTCCAAAAAATAAGATGATTTATAGCATCGTTAGTCGGATCCTGACTACCGTTTCGGTCATCCAAACCATCACCACAACTGGCAACCAGTAACTGAAAGAGGTAATACGACAATGCTCCAAGAATAAAACTTATATCGAAAGCTTAAAACTGAAAAAACCCGCAGGGACGAATATCTCGTAACCAGGCGTGATATTAGACAGTATTTAAGACTACTGTTTTGATGTGAGAGGCAGTTTACGCTTCCATGTGAACTCTGTGCAGTCGGTCTCCGCGTAACATACTCAGTGGAAGACTCATAGAAAACGGTAAGTGTGCGATGAAGCTATTCTGTGTTCAACGTGATTGAAATCTTGGTTTGGCATTTCCTCTGTTTGGTCATAGAAGTGTTTGGGTGGGTAAATTTCGGTCAACTTAACCATACCAAGCTCTCATGAAGCTGAAATGCGGCGAAAAGTCAGCTTGTTCTTGAATAAAGAATGAAATAACACCTTTCGTTTGCTCAACAAGAATAAAAAAAAACTAAAAAAGTGTTCTACCACTTAGTAAGCATGCATTGCCGGTAAAAAGAGTCGACATATTCGATGACCATAAGGTGAAGTATTTCATGGCAACCGTAAGGGACATTCCCTTAACACGACGTTCCTCATCGAAAATGACCTCCTCCGTGAAAAGGAGTAAAGACCCCAATGAAACAGTTCTTCCTTGGTACCGATGCTTCCTATTATCCACATGCAATACCTTTTCAGAGGGTTAAATCTGCAATATGTGTTCTGCTGTTTTCTCCTGTCTCAGAGCTGTTTGATGGCTTCATACGAATTTTCCTTGCGCTCCTCAGTAGGACGCGTGCGGCACAGTGGTTGGAGGCGCCACAGCGACACACACGTGGAATTGATCCCTGTGACCATGGCCCACCAAGCTTTCCATCCGCTCGAGGTCTCGAGGTCGGCAAATTGCTACTAGACTTGTCTGGGAGGATAGCAGCACTGGCTCGATACATCGGTAGGCCATCGCGAGTCATTGTAAAGGCCAGATATGCACTCATTGACCACCAACGATGGTTAATGAAGTCGAATGCATGGCGCATCCCTCAGAAATTGATCAACGCCGAGAGCTTTACCCTTTCTATCTTTAATCCTTTATACTGTTCAGTAGGAGTATCACCACTTAGTACTTCCTTCTATCGTTGATGACACATTCATAAAGCCTTGTTATGATGAGGTAACAGAAAGCCCATATGTAACCCGTCAGCCCTTTTAGACTACAATAAGGTCCATATTTTAAAGGAGATCGCGAATGACCCGCTACGCATTTCCATCTACTTTGTTAGAAGCTTTTGACCACATCGACTTGCAAAATACAATTCAAGCAGAAAAACGCACATCCTCGCGCACAATGTGAGAACGACTTCGTCCATGCGGAGCAGGTACAGAGCAGTTCGGAGCACGAGCACAAGAAGGAGCTAACTGTCCAAACTAATTGCGCTTAAGATTAAACTTTACTCAGGATTGCTTCTTTGTGCCTCTAAATCCATACCTGCTAGCTGGAACACGCCACATACTCTGCTAGCCAGTCAGCTTATGATCATTTTCATGATGGCGATACATGAATGATGTGTTGTCTAATGGCTTGTCGACAGCCTATTCACACACCACATCAGTTTTCGTGTTGAAAATGGCTCAATAGCTGTTCATGCATTCTGATACGTGTCGTCTGAAACAATCTACACCTGGCTGTAATGTCGACGACGAACGTCGACCAATCCTTGTACCCTTCAGATGAAACATACAAGGAGCAAAACAGACAACAATTTGCGACTGTTTTTTAAACAAAAGAAGGAAAAAGAATTTTACTCTCACAATGATGCTAAGATATTTGCAAAACTCCTGACCGCAGGGGTCTGCGGTGCGAGAACGAACGCGCTATTGTCCTTTCCGGGGAGTAACGCGTTCACCACCACACCATGCGGGTCCTTCGTTTCGCCTGTCGCTCAGCTAGTTCTATCGTTTTTTTGCTATCAGCAATCACCGATCAACGGGATTGATCTGGAGAGCCCAAATCGGCATTGAATCCAGTACTTTGTTTTCTTTTATAGCATGTCTTTATTTTACTTTCGTTTATAATATGTAGACATAACGAACTGTATCAACGCCCTCATTTTCATTCTGTTACGATAATTTTTACTTTTATAAAGCATTACTTCACCTGTGAGGCTTGTTGTGAGGGCACATTAAGAGACATTCGCCTCACTTTTCTGAGTGCAATATTAATTGGAACTAACACTCGACACGGACCACTGTGACCCATTTCGCGTACTGAAAACCGAAGCGAATAGAAAAAATAACCTAATGTGAACTGGTACGGTTTAAACTTAAGCAACACATTGATATGTGGATTCTTGAAACTCACCAGATAGTGGCGGATTCGGTTGAGTCTTGGCGCAGTGCAAAGGCGTAGAAATGACAAATCCGGCCGAGGTGCCAATCCAAAGCTGTGAAGTAGCGACGGTTACGCACGAAATTCGTAAACATCCCATTTTGTGTTCACGAATAATATCCTCACGACCTGATGCAGATTTGTTGAGAATCTTTATGACGTTAGGAATATAGAAGTATGGGGCTGCAACTCTACTCAAATCATCTTGTCGTCATCTGAATAACAACACTCTCTTATTCTTGGTGGCCCAAGACAAAGTTTTAACCTAGTATTTATGACGTTCTATGAAGCGTTAAAGGTCTTCCACATGTTCATATAGAAAGGGTCACAGATTGGACATATATACTTACAAATATAATATAAAAATCATCAATGCTTGGCTTACCAGCGAGATGAGTGCGTATGCATGCGGCAATACCGAAATGATTCAACACTTTCAACGAGAAAGCATCAACTACATATACGTTTGTTGACCGACGTCCGCAACAGAAGATCACAGAACCGGATGACGTCATCAGTTGAAGATAATCGGACGAGGCGACGATGTCTACCGGTTTCTAAACAGTTGGCGATATGACCATCTACAGATGAGCAGCGAATATCTGGAATCTAGACGCTTCCTATCTATAAATTTTTCCGACTATGAGTATTTTGTGTACTCGCCTCCCATCCACTTCCTTCGGTATCCATAACGTGTATTTGATGAGCGCTAAGCAGCAATAGACGTCGCCCGACTTGACACATTGCCAAAATTGGCCGAGTCAGCGAATGGCTCATAGCGACTGGAGCATCCAGTTCCCATAAACGTTCTGTGATTTTCTTGTTAGCCTAACTCAAAAAGACACTGAAAAAAACGGCTAATTTTAATAGTCTATGGAAAATACATAGCAGTGCGATTAACTCACGGCTAAAATTCTTTAAAGGAGATAATAATGTGATTCAAAAAAGGTGTGCATTTAAAATTCTGTGCAGATAAAAGGCGCAATCAGGTCACTCTTCCAGACAGCATCAAATTCCACACCAATCTCTCGATCACTTGCACCCATGTATGAGTTTTGAGACAGCTACTATTCGGTGGAAACAAACCTGTTGATGTGTGAAATCGCAGAAGCTGCACATTGGTTGGACTGGCGGTGGCAACAAACACATAGCCAGCGGCGCTAGTGATGGCGGTGACCGGATAGGAAAGCCGAACGACTCGTTCACGAGCTCTCGTTCGAATTCTTTCCGTTGAGTTCACGACAAATACTCTGAATAAATGAGCGAGTGAAATCACAGCAGACCAAGAAGACCAAAAGCAATATTCTTCCCAATTTTCGAACATATTTCTATTATAAAAAATAGGATGAAGCATTCGGCGTTGATCGTTTCCCTAAGGAATGCGCCATACGTTCGACTCTACCATCACCAAACAACCATTAGTTTCCTAGTATCGACCATCCACGAAGGTTTTCGAATTTTTTCGTGGAGTTCGGCCACTGCTTGAGAATCTTCTGGACTCTTCTGGACCTTTTAAATAGTCGTCCTTTAACGTTCCGTGTAGATTAGATAAGTTAGCCTGTTTCAGGCTGATCCAGTACTAATTTCCGGACCCCAGACTATGAAAGCAATGGTGAGTCGGAGGCGGAGTTCCAATCAGAGAATGGGTAAGTTGGCCATCCGCGTAATGAATGGCAGCATTATCTCTGCGCTGCCTGCTCCCCAAAACCTTTAATCTTCATTAATCCATACAGTGCGAACAAGACTGTATATAGGCCCGTGTGGCGCAGTGGTCGGAGGCGCCCTACGACACACACAGAGGATCGACCCTAGTGCCCGCGGCCTACCAAGTCTTTCATACCTGCAGGGTCGACAAATTGATACCAGATCTGTTTAGGAGGATAACAGCAATGGCTCGATACATCGATAGGCCACTGCGAGTCATAGTAAATGCCGCATTCAATCACCACCAACGATGCTTAATGATGTTTAATGCATGGGGCATCTCTCAGGGATTGATAAACGCCGACAGCATCTATCCTTTTTGAGGCAGGATATGATGAAGACTGACTCAATGGGGCCCAACTATTACTGTTAGCTTCACTCACTCTCCGTCGTCATTTCCAATCCAGACGGTGATCTGACCAGAACTTGTGTCATCGTCTGACTCCGATGATTCACCGCTGCTAAAAATTACACAAGCCATAAAAGAGTTAGGAAAGAAACGGGATAAAAACAAAAACAATGACGAAAATGTGAGGGAAGGCCGCTGAAACCTCTTTTAAGAAAAACGTTGAAAGTTGCTTCCTACACGTAATCTTTAACGAAAGGTCATGCGCCATGTACTTGGAGAGTAAGCGTGATTTTTAGGACAGCGAAAACAGTAACAATAAATTTAAAAAAGTCTCTCTTTGATTTCTAAAAAAACGATTCTTGACCTATTTCTATCAAAGAGCGTTTCACTTCTGCCAAGATGGTCTAGTGATTTCTGTGACCTCACTTTGCGCTTTCGTTTCCTGAAAAACCGACTGCATTGATGGGAAATCCGTCGGATGTCATAACTCGCCTTGATGGTGACGGTACAGTACACGCCGCTGTCACAGCCGCGTTACCGATTCCGGAACAGCTTTCGATGCATGGATCACCATTTTCGAGTGATAAAATAGCTACCTCAAACAAAGACACCACTAATAAACAATATAATTTTGTTCTATTTTGCTGTTTTCAATGAAACTAAAGCTAAAAAGACCCTGGGATTAATCTTAAGCTGCGGCTTGTCTCACAGAGCTGGTCCAGTCTTTTAGCGCGGAGAAACTACTTTCGAATCTCCGAATACTTTAATGATCTATCTTCAAGATTCAAATCGTCACCAACACAACGCTCGTTTATACTACTCCCTGGCGATCGCCGTCTATTGTGGTTAGGTATATCAGGAATGGTAATGTACTCGAGAGAAAAGTTATGCGAACAGCTACTGCTGGTCTTCTTTCTTGCTGTCGGTACTGTGGAGCTTCTCACAAAAATTCTCTTATCGAGCAAATCAAAAACTTCAAATTCTGCTGCATGGATCACATATATATCGTCATTAGATTCACAGAATTCTGCTTGGAATACCATCCGCTTTTTATTCTAACCTCTGTCAGCAATGCATCAACATTTGATAGCGTCTAAACGAATCCACTTTTACCAGGATCGTGCTGAAAGTGAATCATTTCCACACAAAAAACTTCAGTTTACTTTATCATTAACAAAACAAGCATTATTATCAGAATGCAGTTCTTCTAACCATCCCCGAGCATTCAGTAGACGACGGTATCCGACCGGATGACGTCGTCTTGCCAAAGCTGTCATCACAGCCGCACAGCAATGAATAATGAAGTCGCCCTATAGGAACGAAAACGTACTATACGTTGGTGAAATGTTTCCGTCAAGCTTTAGTCCTGTTTACAGTAAGCATAAAGGATAAAGATAAAGTTTCCGGCGTTGATCGGTCCCTGAGGAATGCACCATGCATTCAACTTCACTAAGCATCGTTAGAAGCTATTCAATGCACATTTGGCGTTTATAATGACTCGCGGTGCTCTACCGATGTGGCGAGCCAATGGTGCTATTCTTCCAGGCAAATCTAGTAACAGTTTTCCAACCTCGAATGGATGGACGTCTTGGTGAGACTGGGGCTTAGGGATCGATCCCATGTGTATTGCAAGGCGCCTCCGACCACTGCGCTACACGTGCTCTTTTTTGAAGAGCCGAAATCCACGAAAAAAACATTGCTCGACGGAAAAGAGTAAGCTTCAAGAAAACGAAAAGCTCCGCCTTAATCATCCTTCCAAATTCAGTTCTTATTCGATTGCTCTCGCCATTTTCCTTCAAAATTGGCTAACGAATAACAAGAAAAGCGAGTGATCCTAACATTTAACAGAATCTTGTGGCTCTCACATCGCTGTTTCGTCGTGTGGCTACAGTCTTTCTCGTACTTTTTGTTGAGCTAAGAAAATATGTGGCTGTTTGGGAAGCATGTCTTCTACATATTTTCAACTACAGTACTTTATCCATTCATTAACAGCGTTTAGGACCATAAAAGTTTAAACTGGTAAAAGAAAACTGAAGAAAACTTCAATTATTATTCCTCATTCAACTTTTTTCACAAAAATTCCTTGAAACCTTGAGACAAACCTGCCCACTGAACTTATCGCTAGCACAGAGCCAAATATAAGGTGTCGAATCCGGTCGTTTGCCCGGAACAACGGTAGCAGCGCAAAGCTTAAGAACTGTGGGTAAAATGATCAGACGAAACAAATAAATGGTCAAAAATAGAACAAAAGCGAATCGATTGTTCGATATGGTTACGGTAGTCTCATCCTCAAAAATTCTACCTGTAATCCAGGCCTCGTTTGATGCGCAATCACAGATTTCAATTGAGCCGGAGGTGCTGAGATCTGCTGATTGACTGAAAAAACAGTTTATTTTTACAGATCCGAAGTTTTTTTTATCAAGACCGGAAGAAGTTTCGTTTCGCAGGGACTAGTTTTAAAAAGACGGCATCAACGCTATTCACTACATCGAATAGCCGATGTAACAGCTTCCTTATTCTTTTTCTTTCTGCCTAAACCTTTACGACTACCAACCGATTGGTTTCAATGAAGAACTGAAATAAAAGACATTAACTAGAGACAAACTAAATTTTCTTTATTATACCGACTCCGGTCGGTCAGTCAATTAACAGCAGGAATCGCTGCCGACCTGGAAGAATCTTTATCGAACAGCGAGAGATTTCCAACTCACTAGGGTTTGCCTACAATGATGACCAAAAAATCTCTTAGGCATTCCCCGCATGAGGTTGGCGGAAGAAAATGTGATCGGACAGGATTCAAAATGCTACTGAGAAGAAAAGTGGACAGTCTTAAACATCAGCCTTTCCCCTACATGAACACCACTTCATCTGTAAATGATGGAAGCAATGCAAAGTAAAGAATGGTTGAAGTACTGGACATGCGTCATGGACCATCTAATCAATAAGCACAACACGAACTAAACTCACTAAGAGCCGCCTTTGACTCACGAAATGCCGTCTCCCACACAGCTCGTTGTTCAGCACTTCCGAACTCTAACGGAACAGTCTCCAGTCCATTTCTGAAACAAAAACCGTAAGAAATCGGCAAGTTTTCGGGGAATTTGTTAAAACTGTCCACAGCAGATGTCCAGTTAGAAATCAATCACATTGGCTGAGCCAAGCCAGAATCTATGCTAACTAATACATAAGCACTCAAACATGCTAACGTTGTGGCGACGGCAAGATGTACGGTGGTCAGATCAGGATTTGAGAGCATCTGTTCATTGAGCGATCGCAAGCGAAGCGTGTTCTCAGTGTCCATCTCCTCCAGTATACTCAAAAGTTTCTGAAAAAAAAAGCTACTAGTTTTATTATGTTTAACGTTTTGTTTTTTGTTGTGGCAAAAAGATCAATAGAAATAGCTGAGAGACGTGCGAAACAAAGGACCCGCATGGTGTGGTGGTGAACGCGTTACTCCCCGGAAAGGATAATAGCGCGTTCGTTCCCCACCATAGACACCTGCGATCCAGAGTTTTGCAAATATCTCAGCAACGTTGTGGTTCTACTAGTTTTATTACAATTGTGGAACTGCACAGTTCCCATAAGAAACCGCTTGAGCCTTCCTTAGATCTACAGCTTAAATCGACTATTCTGAAAGAACCAAAAAGACTATCTATGTTGTAGGAAGTGTCATGAGACTGTCAACTTTACCTCTAACTTGTTCCTTTTCGCACTTTTTTTTGGAAGAAGCCTGACTCTAGAGAACTATAGGGCTTTTCAAAATCAAGAAGTGAAAAAAACGGTAGATAGCGCATAATACCATGTCATGAAAACTGTAGTAGGCAGTGAATAAAAGATTAAACGCTTTGATTTCGACTGCATCATCAGCTGAACCATCAAGTTGGTTCAATGCCGATTTGTTCTTCCCAGATGAATCCCGTTGGAGGGTGATTGCTGATGGCATTGGTAGACAGAAAACTAGCTGTGATAAAGGACAGATTGTTTTATTCACTTGTTTTTTCCATACCTCTTTGTTTCCTTTGATGAGATTTGCTAGCTCAATAACCTTTCGAACTACTTTCTGATCTTCACGTACAACGTCGATAGTCTGCTCCGTATCTTGAAGTATTGATAGTGTATCTATAATATCGATTTCAGACAGAAGCACTTAGCAGTGTGAATCGACCACAGCTGTAAAAACTTCGCCGAATGGAATAATTTGTGGTTTTTTCTATTAAATGGACTGCTAATGATCATTTTAATATAATATGGAAGATAGTTCGAATGAGTTACGTGAAACGCTCAATAATAGAAGGCAATTCCATGTCAACAACGTGAAATATTCTGTTCAACAAATCAGTAGATGAACTTCCGCACTTGTATCCATGCCTCTGTATGTGTTGTGTGTGTGTGTGTGTGTCCATGCGCGAGTGCCTGCCTACCTGCGTATATATATATATATATATATATATATATATATATATATATATATACATGTAAGCCTGTGTGTTTTTTATGAGAATTTATGTGTTAGCATATTTATTTGTGTGTTGATGTGTGTAAGTGTCTCTATGTGTGTATGAGTTGTTTATCGTACACATCGTTTGATTTAAATAAACCATAGAAAGCAACAATAGAGTGTCCTGCAACACACATGGTCATTGGTTCGATCCCACGCTCATTAAGCCTTTTATCCCTCTCGAGTAAACAAATTGCTAGCAACTTGTCTGGAGAGTGGCGGCACTGATTTGATACTCGGCAATTCACCGTGAACCATTGTAGATGCCATTATGCACTCATTCATCGCTAATGACGTCTAGTGAAGTCGAATGGGTCGCACATTCCACAAGCGTTGATGAACACCGAAACCTTTATCTTTTCTCCTTTACTTTCTTTGGGGCATTTCGACGAAGATGATCTACGGTAGGCTAGGCGTGAGCTATAAATGTAAGGCACAAAGATGTCATATGGCCATTGAATCTTACAAGGAACATGTTTATAAACAACTGAACAGCCCCTGAGCAAATCTAACTAGGTCTGGCCAGATTAGGAGGTTGGTATCGTTAGCAATCTGACACTGCAACAAATTAACCTTTGTTTGCAAACGGAAGAACGACAAAGAAAGTGGAAATATCGTTGCTACACAGACATTCTCACTCCAGATCAAATGGATCAGTTCATCGCAGAATCTTAAGAAAATCTCAGAACATTGCAGATACTAACGGTCGGGCGCGTGTAGCGTATTGGTTGTAGGTACCCTTATACATCCTACACGTAGTGGTTTAATCCCGTATCGGAGCTTCCATTCCTCTGGGCACGGGTAATTTGTACCAGACATGTAAGAGAGAATAGCATCATTGAAATAATACATTCGCGAGCTACAACAAATCATTGTAGAGATGAGATATGCATCATTAATTCATCTTTAATGATTTTCGTACAGGGTGTGGGTAGCACGCTGGTGGTGATGCCGGTTATCACGAGCTCGGTGCTGGTTCGATCCCGCACTCACCAAGCTTCTCATCTCTGCGGTGTCGGGAAATTGGCGACGGACTCTTTAGGGGAAAAACTAGTCTCTGCAATCGAATTGGGAACCCTCTACCCGGGCTATCTCAGGACTCCAGTGAGAACTGACTCGACCAACATTCTACGACATTTAACATGAAATGAGACTCCTCAACCAGCAGCCAAGGTCACGCGTAAAAGTTTAGATAATTTAGTGGATGATGAATGCAAGGAAACGAATCGAACATAAAGAGTGCTGGCTTCCGCACAGAAGATGTCAAAACGGGAGTATGAAATAAAACAAAGGAAATAATGACGGTTGAGTGAAGTCGAATGCATGGTGCATCCCTCAGGGATTGTTATCAACGCCAAGAACTTTATCCCTTATCTCTCACACTAGTGCTTGGTTAGTGCTCGCCCAGACGATAGTCAGACATTTTGACACTGTTGCTCTTCAGACGGATTTCTACACGAACACACTAAAAACAAAATAGAACGGTCGCCCTGCTTTGCATGTAAGAAAGTCACTAGGAACCCATGGTCTGAGCCATTGATGAGAAGTGAAACACCACACCATTCAAATTTCATCCTGATAAGGTGAGTTGCAGGCAGGAAACTCGGCTCAGACTCTCAAAAGGGTCTACGATTGCCAGTGGTAGCGAAAAAAATAGACTTAGCACGGCTACCTTAGAATTTTAAAGAATGCTAATACAAAGCATCCTTTACCACTCTAGTGCAAAAGATTTTGAAGCGTTAGACGCACTAACTGAGGAGCCCGACCATCTCTATGAAAAAAGGTCGCATGAAAACAAAACGAATGGAAGACATGCTAAGTTCAGCGCAAAAATGATGATAGGTTACCTAAATATCTAAATAACTAGGCAGCATGCAAAAATCACACTGTTACCTCTCTTGAGTAATTCTTTCTAACAAAACGTTGACAAGACAAGATGATTAGCACCTTTAGCGATTTCGACATCGTCCAGCGAGATCTTAATGATCAGTTTGAAGCGATTATTGTCCAGAAAGTCGACCGATTGTACTCTAAAGAAAACTCGACAACACTCGACTAACTCACACTCATGAGTTATGCTTGCAGTAGACGAATTTTCACGTACATGAGTTTGGTGTTTCGTGTCGAATTCTTTCGTCGTACACTGGTGAGGACGAGTTGATCGCTTAGTGTGAAAACACAACGTTGCCGTTTCTCATCGCCACGGCATCGCATCTGGACCATATCGTAGCGGACGAGATTACGACCGGTTGAAACCAACTGTGATCATTTTATTAGTATGCTATTTAGTCGTTCAATAAAGAGTAATAATGGATAATTTTTCGCTGTTCGATGAACTCAGTTTCTGAGCAATTAAGCGCTAAAGTGTACTGAAGCGAAACAGATTCCAACCCTCAGGATATCTTGTAGTCCAAAATTCGTAATAATCAAAATACTTCAAGTAATTAGCAAAATAAATACAATACTACTACAGATGATATGTTTGAAGAATTTGAATATTTTATGGGATAGAAAGACTAGAAGTGTGCTCTGAGGAAGATGAAGATGTCAAAACGTTTGCCGAATGAAGTTATTTTGTCAACCTCGTGTTAACCCATGAAAGAAGATCATTCATACTGAGGTTAGAGGAAAGCCGATTTGTGTTGTATGTTCACACTTTGTACTAGCTGATAACAATGCCGTTTTCTGCATGATGTGATGATTATCCGGAAAAAACATGTTTTTATCCCCATGACCGACTTTCTTTTGACCTCGGCATTGATTGATAATTCGCTGTTTTTCTTCAACAAGCAGACACGAGGTTGTTATTATAGAATTTATTAGGATACTATAGCCGACTCTTCGGCGGTTTCGCCTTCTTCAGAGCCTGTAAAGGTCAAATTGAGATGCGATCTACCCAGCCAAACAATTTCATAACCCCAGCAGATAAAACTTAACAAATAAATTTGTATTCGCATAAGAAACAGCTTCATCTGAACACCTACCGCTTATTTGTTGTAAGTATTCCAGTTAGTTGATGGATAGCAGCCGCACAGAGTAATACATGGGCGAGGACTGTGTCTGTGTCAGGTCACTGGATTAGCCTGAGGTATGGCTCCAGGTCGAGCGTGATGACAAGACATTCCTCCTTGCGGTTCATTTTTGAATTTTTGGCATTGATCCAAATGGCTTCAAGAGTTTTACGCGCTGATGTTTTCGATTCCTGCGTAAAGATAGCGACTCCTACTTTAAAATCTTCTCCATTGTGTTCCTGCATCCTATGCGCACCTAGTGGAGTGTTTGGTTTTAATTTAGATTTACCGACTAAGTGTTCTTTTATGTGGACGCAGAGCGGTCTACCTGTTTCGCCAACGTATTCGTCCCCGCACGTTTTACGAAAGATCAAGTAGACTGTACCCGAACTCATGCAATCACCATCTCTACCATTAGGGCAAACTATGCAGTTTTTCGTTATGCATAGACAGACGGTCATATAGGCGGTTGCAAATTAGCTGGCGCCTTGGAGTGTTCAATGGTAGTTCTGTCACTCTTACGGAATTCTCTAGACCGGCCCTAATTAAGCAACGTTTTATAGCAACATTTATTTCGTTTGAAATAAAGGGCAAGAGGAACGGAGTCTTGTTCTCGATAGAATTATCGCTCTCGGGCGTGGGATTTCCTCGATGCCTATGCCGAGAAGCTACAGTTTCATAACCATTTGAAACGGCTATTTGGCACGCCAGTTTCGACGATTCTTCTCTCTCATCTCTACCTGTGCACACGATGGCAGCGGTTCGAAACATATTTCTTATAAGCGCCCTTTTAGTGTGTGAGGGATGAGAAGAGAGGTAATGAACCACTATATTCTTACTGCTTGGCTTTCGATACCATTTTGTGTTGTAGCCGTTTTCGGATAGGTTGATTTGAACGTTTAGAAATGGAAGCCAGTTTTCTTTCAGGTTCTCACGGGTGAATTTTATGTACTCTGACTGCTCGTCCAATAACTCAAAGCATTTGTCCATCTCCTCTTGTGTGGAGCAGATGACAAAACAATCAACTATATGCCTACAGTAGAGTAATGGCCTGAGATCGATTACTGGTGCTTCCACTTTAGACATTAAGGCAATGGCAAAGGTTGGTGCCAGTCGCTGTCCAATTGCCAACCCTCTCATTTGTGCGTAATACCTCCCGGACCATCTGAAGATCGAGTAGTTTAAACAAACCTTTAGGAGGACCATAAGTTCCCGAATCGAAAAGCCATACATGTTAATTGCTCCTTCATGTTGCTCAAGAAGCTCGCGGATGGCTTGCATTGCGGAGTCGTTCGACACGTTAGTGTAAAGGGCGGTAACGTCGAACGACTCCATAACTTACGCGCTTTTGGGACGTGCGTTGCGCAGACGGTCTGTGAACATCTGGGTGTTCGTGAGATGGGCTGGTATGTGCTTAAGCAACTGGTTGAGGATTAGATTTAATTTTTTTTGTTTTTTATCATCGGACAATCACTATTATAAACAACAGCTTTCCTGCACAAAAGAGCATCCCCGTGAGGAATTGTCTTATTGGAGCGGTGCTAAAGAACCTATTCGTTACCAAGACGTCGAAACGTTATCCGAATAAAGTCTGTTTTGTCAACCTCGTGTTATCTCATCAATGAAAGAAGGTACATTAAAAATGTGCGTTTGAAGCAGTTTTCCCTACAATTTTCTCTTTGTACTATGTTCTTTTAGCTCAGAAAGGTTACAAAGGTCTCTTAAACGCTCCCCGTTTCTTACTCTATGAAAAAAAATGAGCCTTTCGACATCACTTTCTCTAAAAATCTTCATCAATCAAGGTGAACCATGCTTTCCGTATTCTGAACTCTGAGAACTGCAAGCAGACTTGTTTGCCAATTACGATCCACAAAGTGCGGTGATTCCACGTGACCTCCGCTTTCCCGAGATTCCGTAGTGAATGGACTCGATCAGAACACGGCAGTATTCACAGAAAAATTCCCACGTTGTTACGGAACCCACACCCAAAAAGTTCCAAGATATTCATGGAAGATGAATGCAAGGAATACTGTGCTCCGCAAAGCAGATGTGAAGGCGGATCATGTAGAAAAATGCAAGGCAGTATAAGGAAGGATGTTTTTTAAAAGTGCTGTTTCGTTGCGAGCAGGGATTTCTTTTGATAAAAATTACGTCCACTCTGATACTTGAAAATGCGAAAATGCAAAAGTCTGTCTCACTAATTTAGATCAATGACGGTTTTCTTCAGAAAGGAAAATTGTAGACCAAATGAATCCCTAAGCCACTTAATTACTAAATAAATGAAACCTAAATTCATAAACGAAAAAGGTTTTTGCCCAGCAAAAACTCACGTCATCGAGGCCGTCGACGATCGCCTCGATCTCCCGAAGTCGTTGTTCCATTTGTTCATTCGCTTCTTTGTGTTGATTGATGGCGACCTGAATTTCTATTAAAACAATCAAGAGGAAAAAGAAATTTTCAGATCTAATCCTTTATCATTTAAAAAAGCAAACATCACGTCGATCATAATTAGCATTGTTTTCCAAAAAACACCCAATAAGTAGCATATTTCTGTATTTGTATTTATCAATTGTAGTTGTATAAATGGCTGCGTGTGGCGCAGTGGTCGGAGGCGCCCTACGACACACACGTGGAATCTATCCCCGCCACCATGTCCCACCAAGCTCTCCATACCTTTATGGTCGACAAATTGGTACTAAACTTCTCTGGGAGGATATCAGCACTGGCTCGATACATCGGTAGGTCACCGCGAGTCATTGTAAAGGCCATATATGCATTCAATTACCTCCAAACAATGCTCAATGAAGTGGAATGTATGGCGCATCCTTCAGGGATTAATCAACGCCGAGAGCTTTATCTTTTTCGTTTATCAATTTAAGTATAGAAATAGGTTTAAACAAGAACTGAGACCGGGTGGACAACCTCATAACGACCCATGGAAGCTCAGTTCTACTCGTGGGAAGAAGGTTTACCTTAATTACGTTTCATTTTAAAGTCATCTTATGCCACAATGGTACTTTCTAAAGCTTTTCACAAGTTTTCCGTGAACTTTGTGTTGATGTTAATAGGATCTTATTGGCATTCGCCAAACAGTCGATAAGTAATAATTACTGACCGCAAGGTTATGGATATGCCTTTGAGCTCTCAGCAGCACTTCGTGATCGGCATGTTCAGCAGGAGTGTGTTTGATGAGCTGCTTCACCAGTAATTCATATCTGTAAAGATCGTAATGCATGGAGATCCGATTCTGTAGAAGTTGTCCGTAGATGTGTCGCGCCACATCGCTCTGCACTGTTAGCTACCGTACCTGGGAACTCTCTGAATAGGTGAAATTAGTAGCGAGTCGAGATCGAGTTTGTTACGATGATCTCTACAACATCTCTGAAATATCGGATAAGAAATATAGAAAAATCGAAGTAGCAAACAGATATTGACGTCCATTTAGTTGGTAATGATGGCCCATTGAAATTTGTGAAGAATAAAAAATAACTGCTGTAAACTGGAGAATATGAACGCATTCTCTACGCAAAACCGCTCATGCTCCAAAGAATCCCAAACTTGCCATTGAAACCAAAATGAGCGCAGTTAGAACCAGTATTCGAGACTATCGTCACAGAAATCAAGTACCTGGCCGAAACATTATTCTCGATACACAACGGCCGATAGTTTTCGGCGCTCAAACCCTAGAGAAGCCCTTACAAGGCTAGCTCCTAAACACAGTGCTCTAAAGGATAAAGGATAAAGCCCTGAGCGTTGATCAATCCCTTAGGAATATGTCAAGCATTCGACTTCATTAAGTATCGTTGGAGGTGATTGAATGCATATTTGGCCTTTACAATGACTCGCGGTGGCCTAGCGATGTATCGAGCCAGTGCTACTATCTTCTCAGACAAGTCTGGCACCAATTTACCGACTCCGGAGGGATGGAAGGCTTGGTGGGCCATAGACGCAGGAATCGATTCTACATGTGTCGCAGTGGCCGCTCCAACCACTGCGCCACACGCGCCCTTAGCACGGCACGAACGAAGAAATACTTATCAAAAATATGTATCGTACGGCTAAAAATATGTGTACAGGAGAAGAGGAAAGGAAGGAACCGCGAAACCTGGCACGAAAAATTGCCATTTCCAATGGCTACGAAGTAGAAGCCACTCGGGTTAGAGGAAAACGTTGGGTAGTTTCCCAAATAATATTTCAGACGAAAGTAGGATCCCCTTTAAGCTGCCCTTCATATCAAATGAAGTAAGTCACGCCATTAAAAAGTGCTTACATTTCATTTCCTACATTTCGTTTATTTTCGGACGAAATTCTCCGCATACTTAATCACTACCAAAAACGAAAAAGAAGCTCCAACCTCACAAACCAACGAAAATGTGGTATGCGCCAGGTTAGAGAGCTTTTGAATTCAAAATCTATTAGACTTTCTATTAGTGATGAAGGCGGAGAATTTGTAGTTCTTCCTAGTCATTTGGATATTAGGATAACAGAGAAGCACCTCAGTGATGTTTCTCTCTATCGAACATCCTCTGAAAAGGAATACAGAAATCAATACCGAAAATTGAATCAAGAATGGGTCAGCATGGCAAAGGCCGCGGGTTTAGCACCTTCAGTTATTTCTCGACTTAAGAACAAACACCCGATTTGGCTTGTCCTTTACTTGCTTATTAAAACACATAAGCTTACTTCAACTGATGATATTACATCAACGAACCCATCATCATACAAAGTTAGACCTATCATCAGTTGTATAGGCGGGCCAACGGATAGAATAACGTGGTTCCTAAACCTTATCCTAACCCAGCTGCTAAAATTCATCCCAAACTATCTACCTAACACCAAAATATTTCTAGATCACCCAAGGCTCGCGCAACCAAACAGCACGCATATAATCGAGTCATTCGATGTTAGTTCACTTTATACCAACGTGTCCAATGACTCCGCAATGCAAGCCATTCTCGAGTTGCTCGTAGAGCATGAAAAGAAAATAAAAATGCACGGCTTGTCAATTGCGCAACTAATGACCCTCTTAAAACAGTGTCTTAGTTGTTCAATCTTTAGGTGGTCTGGAAAATATTTTGCACAAATTAGAGGGTTGGCCATGGAACAACGTTTAGCGCCGAGCCTTGCCGTCGCTTTCATGTCTAAGGTGGAGGCTCCAGTTCTCGATCACCGACCCTTACTCTACTGTCGATACATAGACGACTGCTTCATCGTCTGTTCCACACAAGAACAGATGCATGAGTGCTTTGAATTATTAAACCGACAGTCAGAGTATATAAAATTTACACGAGAAAAACCTACCGAGAACTGGCTTCCATTCTTAAACATCCAAATAAAGCTCTCAGTAAGTGGCTATTTAACAAAATGGTATCGCAAGCCAAGTAGTCCTCTCCTCTCATCCTTCACACATGAAAAAAGCACTTATCAAAAATATGTATCGTACGGCTAAAAATGTATGTACAGGAGAAGAGGAAAGGAAGGAATCGCGAAGCCTGGCACGAAAAATTGCCATCTCCAATGGCTACGAAGCAGAAGCCACTCGGGTTAGAGGAAAACATTGGGTAGCTTCCCAAATAATATTACAGACGAAAGTAGGATCCCCTTTAAGCTGCCCTTCATATCAAATGAAATAAGTCACGCCATTAAAAAGTGCTTAAAAAAAAGTGGTCTTGAAAATTATGTAACGATTGTTGACATCCCACCCAATACCCTACGCCGCCAGTTAGTTCGAAACCGTCTCTATGATCGTTTGTGCATCTCAGAAAACTGTATGATCTGTCCTAACGGGAGAGACGGGGATTGCATGAGTTTAGGTATAATATACTTGATCTCATGTAATGCATGCGGCGAGGAATATATCGGGGAAACGGGTAGACCACTTTGTGTCCGCATAAAAGAACATCTAGATGGAAGAGCTGAAATCCGTTTAAACACCCCTCTAGGTACGCATAGGGCACAAAAGCACAACGGCGATGATTTTGAAGTGAATGTGCGGATCCTAGCGCAGGAATCAAAAACATCAACGCGCAAAACTCTTGAGGCGTTTTGGATAAATTTCAAAAATCCAAAGATGAACCGGAAGGACGAATTCCTCACTATCACGCGTGACCTGGCGCCCTATTTCAAAATGATATTTTGACCCCGGGGCGTGTCTTGCTCGCGTGAACTACGTGTGGGCCAGTCCCGCACGTAACATCACGGTGAGTGACCTTTCTGTTCAATATGGCGTCTATTTGAAAGTTTGATCTTCATTAATACTTTAACCTTCTTTTCCACCGAATAATAAAAAGTATTCTAACATAAAGTACGTCCAGGCTCTGAGGAAGGCGAAGTCGCCGAAACGTCAGCCATCGTTCAATAACATCAAAAAAAAACAACGACAGCAACAGCGACAACGAAGATACCTCGAGTCAGCTTAAGAAGATCAGTTTATAAGATCTCATAAATAAATATATCAACTATCTATGCCGAGGTTCATAGAAAGTCGGTCTTTCGAGTTATTAAGAAAATGAAACAGTACCGAAAATGCGGAGTAGGACGCATTTGGAATGGGAACCGTCCTGGTGATTTCCTGTTCGTAACATGTCTCTTCCATGAAGTTGGTTTTTTTGGGAAAAAAAGATCATAGCCGGTCATGTGATTAGACTCAAATGGAAAGCGATCGCATCAGACAGCAGAATACAGTGCCTCTTTGAAGCCTTCATAGCACCAACCTTCACTAATGGAATCCGATATTCATCTATTGCCTTTGATGAATCTATTCGACCACGGGTTAACAAATAATTCCATTGCCAAAGAAAGGATAAAACAAGTTACGTCTGACGTAGAAATTCTTGATGAAATTCTCCTTTCAAGTGAGCAGCAATCATTGAAGAAACAACCAAGAAAGGCATCAAAAACGATTACAAATGGAATGGAGAATTCTCTGGTGCCCGTGCAGGCAGGATAGATGAACCAAGTCGACAAGGATTTTTTATTGCATAACCATCATATATAAAGCATGACGTCATTGTTCATATTGATTTTTAGCTTTTGAACTTACATTGTAGTATTTCTCGAATGATGGCTTTCCACGAGCCTGAGTAATTGCAGCTTTAGCATATTTGAAATTGTCGACGAACGAAATATAGGTGTCCACCATCGATTGTTTAGCAAACTGTAAAATCAATACGCATCTATTCTTCTGCCAAAATAGGTACTCCACTACAGCTCGTCTCACTTCTTTTCTCATCAATCGCGGTAATTCCAGCGCTACGCGCTATTCAAAAAATGTTTTAACACTTTGCAAATTTGGTGTTTCATCTTTGTTTTTAAGCAACTAATAATATTTCTGTCCAGTAGACTAATATAAGGCGATCAGCAAACCCATAGAAGTTCGAAACACAATAAAGTCAATCCGTTTTTCACACTTCTGCGTGAAAAAACAAATGATAAGATTTTTTCTTTGTTTTCAATTTTATGTTATCCATGACCACATCTAATGTGCGGAACCAACAGTTCCTTCATTCGACTCGTTTTCTCGCATTCGTCATCCACGATGGTCTCGGGACCCTTTTCCGTGCGTAGACTTGGCTGCTATTTGACGATACTCCCTTCTTCACGAACGTTGTTGAATGATGGTCGAGCTGATTCTTCCTGGAATTCTGACAGAGCCAGGCTAGAGCGCTCCCTCGTAGATTAGAGAGGGTGGGCTTTTCTCAAGCAAGTATGGTACCTGTTTCCCCTTAGAGTAGTCAGCTGCTTGATGAGCGTGGTGCAAGGTCGAGCCAGCACAGTACTCGTGATGAATGGTATCGCAATCACTGCGCTAACTAACGCCCTCCAGTTGGTGCGATTCATTATCGTGTCATCATTTTATGCGATTCTTTTCGTTGGTCAGCGATATGAAATGCTAAATATCGTAAAACACTCCTTATGGGCTCGAATTCCCATCCTTTTAGATCATTTCAAAATAAGGACTGGTAAAAGAGAAAATGATAAAACTCATGGAGTTGATTAATCCCTGAGGAATGCGCCGTGCATTCGCCTACACTAAGCATCGTTAGAGGTGAATGAATGTATGTCCGACCTATACAAAAACTCACAATGGTCTACTGGTGTATCGAATCAATGCTACTACCCTATCAGATAGGTCTGGTACCAATTTACTGACCTCGGAGGGATGGAAGGCTTGGTGAGCGTGGGGCTTTGGGTGGAACCCATTTGAGTACAAGATACCTCTAATCACTGCGCTACACGCCCCTTATGAGGACTGGTTTCTTCGATGATTACGTTTCATAATTCCTTTTATGCAAAAAAACTGCTGTTAAAATGGAACCCGCTTTGTTCAGTGCCGTCGATAAGCGAAAATGGTTTTCAAAAGCGTAAAAAATACCCCCACTTCCCATATTTTTTCTCACCAAGTGAAAAATTGAATTAAGTCTTCATTCATTATTTATTGAGGAAGCAGAGAGCGATTATGCACGATGACCTTTCTACTTTATCTTTTTGTCTTCTCTCGTTCTAAAAAACCTTTAGCTCCTCCGACTTACATGGGAGAGCATCACGTCACCAATAACGCTGTCCTTATTCCATTCCTCTATCCGTGAGCTCAACGCCGCAAGCAGAACCTGAACAGAAAAGTAAGAGAAACTTTCATCATGAATGAAACCGGCTATTGACTGATTGATTGATTAGCTTCCATGCCTGATGATGTGCTAACACCTCTGGTACTTTGTAGAAAATCTTATCCGCAAGGCCTGGCTCAATAAGTGTGCATTCAAGTGGTTGACGTAGAGGTCGCATGTATTTCTAAATAGAAAAAATTCCGAAAAAAAGTGGTTTACAAGGGTAGAATCAAAGTGCTTTCCCAACTAACTTTTGAAAAAAATGAGGACTATTTCTTAGCTGTTCACGAAGAAATTTTATAGCATCGCAAAGAAAGTAGTGTGCATTCTATATGTATTAATTATAAAGGCACTAAAATGGTAAAAAGTAAAGCACTTAAGCCTTCTCTCCTACCGTCACTAAGAACTCCAACCCTTCAACAAATGACTTTTCCGTGTCGTATAGTTCACGAGCGGCCAAATTTCGTACACTAAAATTCGGAAAGAAATTTATTCTAGAATAAAACATCGCTTTCGTGAATAAATTACTCAAGCAGAGCCCATAGTTCATAAATTCCCTCTGGACTTCATGACGTGTGTCGTGGTATTTAGTCGTGAGTTCGTGAGGTTACGATGCTTGGGTGACGGATCGGGGAAAAAAAGGTCAAAGGCGTTCTAAAAACGGCCATCTATTTGCGTTCTAAAAAAACTGAGTCAAGAAATAGGATCTCCTCTCCATTGCTTGGGTTAAAATACACGTTTTTATGCATATAGTTGTATTGACGCCACACGTACATGGGAAACGGATTCTGGTCACTGGTGAGTACATCCCTTCTCAAACTCAGAGTTGAACTCCGGTGAGCTGTTGTTTGGCCAAAAACAGGAAAATTGGAAGCTTCACAGGACAAGTGTGATAACCTTCACTTCACTCCAGTAAACAATCCATTTCGTTATGCTGTCTGTGATAAGAAGCGTTTACTCCTATATCATTATCTCGACTCTTTTGACGAGTGACGAGACATAATTTGCGCAGGTGAGAGCTCACGCTATAAGTTGAATGCAGAAATGTAAAGAAGGTTGTGTTAAAAGTCCTGAATGAAGCGATACCAAAGTCTTAAGCAATCTTTATCACGTTTCGAAAGCGGAAACTCTCAAAAGCAACTGTACTACGTTTACGATCAAATCCTCACCTATAGTGCTTCCGAAGACTAGCACGAGAGCGCTTTTTCCAGAGCAGAATATCGGCCTGTAGTAGCGAATCTTCCATTCGACATTCTTCACCGGCCGACTCCGAAAAGCCATACGGACGCCTGAAATCGTTCTCGACCTACATCTTTTAATGTCATGTCTCGGAATCAATAATCTCGAGAACAACCTAAACATTTTTTCGGCAAATATTTTCCTAGTATCTTTTTTCATCGCTTGGTGCATTGTGGTGCTTTGTCAATTAAGCGAAGCACATTATAACTTCAATGATGCTGAGATATTTGCAAAACTCCGGACCGCAGGTGTATGCGGTGGGGAACGAACGCGCTATTGTCCTTTCCGGGGAGTAGCGCGTTCACCACCACACCACGCGGGTCCTTCGTTTCGCCTGTCTCTCAGCTAGTTCTAACGATATTTTGCCATCAGCAATCACTCGCCAGTGGGATTGATCTGGGTGGCCCAAATCGGCAACGAACCCAGTTAAGCTGAGGCCGCAGTTATAATCACAATTATTTCACAACGTTTTCTTTATTTATTTCAGTTTCAGTTATATTTCACAATGTATACCCTGCCGTTAAAAAGAGTAGGCAGTAAATAATAAGTTAAAATCGAAGCACTTTAGTTAATGAGTTGGCTTTTTAGGCAATGGGGATGGTTATGAATGGTTGGAGTTTGGATGTATTTGTTCTGCTACACCGTCTTCACTCACTATATCGGCCATGGCATTAGCGGTCTCCGTAGGAATTACGGCTCTCATGAAAGGATAGTATTCATAAGGTCGAAAATCTTCCTTCGATGAACAAGCACCGTCGAATGTTTGCCTTAAGGAAATGAAGTCACGATGGATCTTCAAACCACAATCAGAAATCTTACGCTGAGAGAACAAGTTTAAGGATGACGGTTGCAAAACAATAGCAGAAATGGAGAAAGTGTAGGGATTCCTGTAAAGTGTGAGAACTAAACATCTAAAAAACGAGAAATCACAGCGAATGAATTTACGCTAAGATTGCATTATTATATTGTTAAGACAAAAACGTTTCCTTCGAATGTTGTCACAACATTCAAAATTCGTCGACGCTTCTGTCTTTGTGTCACAGAAGATTTCATATTAATAACAAATAGTAAAAAACCCTCCCAACGGTTTACCGCCTCATCGTGGCTGGGAGGTGTTCCCGGGTGTCGGACTACGATGTAGAGCGAGAGATTTATTCCTTGGCAGGGTCCCCCAAGCTGAGAAGGAGTCCGGCGTTTCCATCACGAAGCCTAGCTAAGAGTAAACCAATGCCAGGATCCACTACCTTCCTAGTATAAAAGTCGCATGGTGGCAAATCTCCCTCTGATCCGCAAGGACTGCGACTGCCTGTGGTGGTGAAGTGGTGAAGAGCTGGAGCAGACTTTGGCCAGGCTGACCTCGGGATTCCAGGGAACCACAATGGCTGAACCAGCAATTCTTCCAAAAGTGGACAATATCCTGGGGCCCGCACAACCAGTGAAGAAGGGTCATTCAAGTACAAAGTGAGTAAGTAGGTAATCAACGACCAGTAAGACTGTGTTAATGTTAAAAAAGAGTGACCCCGATATTGGCAACGATCACCCAATCTGCTTTCCTTCACAAGCTCCTGGCTCGATTTCTTCACTAATGCTCAACAGTACTGACAGAGGAATGCTAGGAGGCCCTTGTAGGCAGGCGTAATTTCGAAAAGAATTCAAGGAATAGATCGCACAATAAAAGAACCTACCGAAGTATCTTGAAAGTGCAAAAGATCGCTCTGTCTCACTTCCATCGATTGGTAGAAAGCCTTTGACTCAGCTGAGATAGGAGCAGTCATGGCAGCTCTGGACAGCTAGAGAATTCCTACTCAATGTATAAAGATTCTTCTTGAGCTATAGTTCGCAGCCAGGATAATGCCATTGTACAATGATATTAACATCTGTGTAAAAAGATGGGACAGGAAAGTCTATATCTATCCAAAAATATTTGCCCTCATCCTCAAGAACATCATGCAAACATTGGATGGAATAGGACAACAAATCCATGGTTGGCAGTTACACTACCTTCGTTTTAGTGATGACATCGTTCTTATAACACCAAGCATTAGCCCCGCAGAACGAAGATTAGCCGACTTTAATAAAGGCTGTGAAAAGACTAGACCTCGATTAAATCGCGCAAAAACAATGCTCATGAGGAATATGCCCTAATGCGTCGGAAACTTGTTCGGTAGGCGGAATGAAAGGTTCCATACTGCGCAAATGGAAAAGGTGATCCGAAGCTCCGATATACGTATTTTTGTTGAGCAAACGCGAGGTGTTACTATTCTTTGTTCACGATTAAGCTGACGTTTCGGCGAATTTCGCCTTCTTCAGAGCCGCTTTCTATGAGGTTTCCACTAAGTATGTCACGCAGAGAAATCACGTGGAAGTATAGTGCATTATACTTCCACGTGATTTCTGTGCGGTTGGTCTCTGTACTTAGTACTTAGTGGAGTGGAACTTAGTGGAAACCTCATAGAAAGCGGCTCTGAAGAAGGCGAAATTCGCCGAAACGTCAGCTTAATCGTGAACAAAGAATAGTAACACCTCGCGTTTGCTCAACAAAAATACAAAGAAAATCACTTGATCAATGCCGAGGTTAATAGAAAGTCGGTCGTGGCAGTTACTGCTCCGACATACGTCAACGATCGAAGATCTAGAACGTCGTTCTACACACAAAATTGTAGAAGATAAGGTGGGAAATTTAAGTAGTGTGTCTAAACAAGAAAAGAGATGGACAAAAGCCGCTAGTGATTGGATTCCTCGGGATATCAAACGTACTACATAAAGACAATTGATCCGATGATGGTCAAAGTTCTTCATGATAAATGTATAAGCGAGATGTGATGCTCAAAGTGTTCCTAGAGCGAGTACAACCCACTGAGCTACTTTTGTTCGCGACACGGAGAAGTGGAACATTTACCATTAGAACCCGGTCGATTCACTCGACGATCAACCGGACGACAGGTGACACAGGTGTATAAAGTGCAATCCAAAGCCTTACGATAAAACTCTATTCTTTCTGAATGCTTTCTGTTAAACGAAGGCATAAACTGTAGCTATTTATCTATAATAAAACAATCACAATCTTAACCCCTTTATTTACTGCTTTTTTCTTTTTAATGGCAGGGTATGTTGCGAAATATAACTCGTATGTAGTGCTGAGATATTTGCAAAACTCCGGACCGCACGCAGGTGTATGCGGTGGGGAACGAACTCGCGCTGTTGTCTTTACCGGGGAGCAGCGCACTTCACCACCACACCATCCGGGTCACTCGTTTTGCCTGTCTCTCAGCTAGTTCTATATATTAAAATATGTTACTAGAATTTCTGAATAACTCACCACGAGATCGTTGGATGTGGTTCCGGAGAACTTTGCCCTGATCGAAAACTGCGCAATAGTTTTGAAAAGCGACTCATACCGGCTAAACTCTCGGATCTTTTTTCGTCTAACGACGCTCCGAAGAGTTCGTCTACGACTCCACGTCGTCTGGAAACTTTTCGTGCTCCATAACAAATTCAAACTTACTCATAAGTCCGCACTCATTTGTAGGTTTTCATGCAAAAATGTACTGTTGCAACAGTTAGTTAAGTTTGATCGAACTGCATATTTTACGTATTAGGTCTAGCAAAAGAGTTGGCGGGTTTCTTAAAGCAAAGCAAGGTCTTCTTCCGAAAGAAAAAAAAGCGAAAAACAACCTCGTAGTGAATGATTTTGTGGGAAAGCCCACTTTTTTCTTGTCTAAGGCTACGAACGTTCTTGTGAGGAAAATAGTGGAAGTGTTATTATGGAGCTTTCTGTGTTAGTGGTCGATTAGTAAGAGCGATCTATTAGCGGGAAATCATATAGAAATGAAAAATGTGCTAAACAAGCAAGAACTTCACCTGCCAGCACTCTCGCCACGTACGTGCTCGCTACCTTTGCGCTTTGGAAGCGTTTCCATAGTTCTAAAAAATATTTTTCTCAGTAAGCCTAAGAAGATACAACTCTAAAAATTAGTTATCCTCAAAGTTGCTACTAGTTCGAAGAAATTTCGTTCTATTACGTGTTATTAAATCCACGCCTGCCGTTGCTCCCGTCTTCTGCAATAGAAGTGTTTTGTGGATCGGTAGGAGCGTTTTTCAGAGAACTCCGCTTGAAACCCGAAATGGCGAAGGTCCTCTTTGGTCCTTGGCGGATTCCAACCAGCAGCCTGGCGAGTATTACTGGACGGCATCTCTCCCATTAGACTTCCAAGACTATGAGTTGATATTATTATCTCATCATTTAATTATATAACTTGCCTCCACATATCGTACAGATTCCAGCACTCATTTTGCCGTCCCCTATCCGTCGCGACCAACAATAGTCGACTTTTATCGGCTGTTAAAGGCTCTTCACAGACAGATCTAATACCAAGCCGTGGAACCACGAAGAATGAAAGGCTTGCTTAACCCATGAAGGGGTCGCACCGGAGACGGTGCGTGTTTTGTGATGCTGGACTTTTAACTACAACGCTTTCTACAGGCAAAAGTTGATAGAGCAAAGTATGAAACTTACTGTTGTGTCTACTACTGCGAATAGGGTTTCAGTATTTACTATCACATAATATTTTTCAGGAACCTAGACAGCATGAAAGATCCTGAATTTTAAAGAATTTTCAAGGTTTAATGTTTGATGAAAGGCAATTTCTCGTACAATATTTACAATTTTGGACCCGGATGGTGTAGTGGTGAAGTGCGCTGCTCCCCGGTAAGGACAACAGCGCGTGTTCGTTCTCCACTGCATACACCTGTGGTCCGGAGTTTTGCAGATATCTCAGCACTTCATACGAGTAATATTTACAGAATTTACTCAAGATCTTACTGACATTCCTTGCATTCCTTAGGTTCGGGACGCGAAAATATGGCGTGGTTTTGAACCAAATGGTGCGAAGTTACTATATGCCGTCTAACTCTTGATTTACCGCAACCTTTGCAACTTCAGAATGGTTAAGAAGAAACTAATTGAGTTTCCAATCAATGTGGAATGATTTATTGTATGAGAATGTTGTCTCAGCTTATCAAAATGACTAGAGACTCAGCATTAAAGCAAGAAACCTTTCCACACGTGTATTCTTTATTATGATCTAAAGGGTACAGATAGCGCAATGGTGGTGATCCCGTACAAATCTCACTGGGCGTTTCATCTCTTCGAGAAATTGCTGCCAGACCTGTCTTGAATCAGCTCACTTTCTCCATTCCACGTGAGAACGCTCTACATATCTGTCTAAGGACTCCGGAGAGAATTGACTCCACCAGTACTCAACGACATTCATGACAAAGAGGAAAATCCGCAAGCAGGAGCCGAGTCCACTCCCAAAAACGAGAAAACCTTCGTAGATGGTGGATGTGAGGAAACGAATCGAGTTCAAGAAGTGCTGGGATCCGCACAGCAGATGTGAAAATTGCCAATGCGAAATAAATATTTTTACTACATCTTTGTATGACAAACTGAAAACATCTGAAATAAGAGGCAAAAACATTGCTGTTCTGGCGTAAAATTGAATAAGTTTGACCCAGTGATGCTAAAAACATCCGAACAAAGAAGATATTCGTGCATGACAAGTGTTATACGTCTTATAAACATTGCCAAACCCATCTACGAATTAAATTAGGTAGTTAGCAAAAGAAAACAGACGTTAAAGGACCACCTTGTTCGTGGAGCCATGGGACTAAGTGGTTGCTCAGAATTCGACAGCACAGAAAGAGGCATGTACGCATCAGGTGCCGACGTCTTCCGAGACAGCGAAACGCGACCTCGATAGGTGTCCGTGGAAGGCATGAAGAGATCGTTTCTGAATGAAAACCGTTGCTTTCTTGCAAGGTTCAAAGTTTGATAACCAGTTCTTAAACTAAGGCCAGAAATTAAGCAGTTTAGAAAGCCCATGACGCCATCAGGTTGTTAGGCGCCTTTCCTAGACAAAACGTCGATGCTCACCCCATGGATGGAAGAAATTGCATGACACCTCTTGGATGACCGAGACGTGTCGAAATTCCTGAAACTCGTCCATCGACACTGGAATCGGCAGCTACTGACGACTCGTCCGCATCCGAAAACACTAAAAAATCGCTTATGGTAGGAAGAAATTTGCAGAAAAACTTCCAATATTACAACAAAAAGCAATTTAAATGTAACAGACATGGAGTAACCTAGAAATACACCCACAATGATGCTGAGATATTTGCAAAACTTTGGAGCGCAGATGACTGCGGTTGGTAACGAATGCGTTATTACCCTTTCCGGGGGCTTACGCGGTCACCACCACACCATGCAAGTTCTTCGCTTCGTCTGTCTCTCAGCTAGTTCCGAATGGTCCGAATGGTGTGGTGATGAATGCGTTACCCACGGAAAGGGTAATAGCACGTTTGTTACCAACCGCAGACACCTACGATCCGGAGTTTCGCAAATATCTTAGCACCACTGTGGTTGTGTTTCGCATTATACCCTGCGATAAAGGAATTGCAGTGGGCAACCAATAAAAACTTAGCATTGTGACCTAGAAATATTTCTGGAGGGCATAGTGGTGCTCAACATTGATCTAGGCTGAGTAGGTACGATAATTGTACATATTGTCGTGTTAAAATATTCTTCAGTCAACTCTATCCAAACTGATATAATACTACCATGTTTTCCAATGTTTTTCTTCAATAAGCAGACACGAGGTTGTTAATATAGAATTTACTCGTTATAACTCGTTATCGCCCATGTATTACTCTGTGCGGCGACTATCCATCAACTAACTTAAATACTTACAACAAATAAACGGCTCTGAAGAAGGCGAAACCGCCGAAACGTCAGCTATTGTATTCTAATAAATTCTATATTAACAACCTCGTGTCTGCTATTGAAGAAAAACATTGAATTATCAATTAATGCCGAGGTTAACAGAAAGTCGGTCTTGGAAATTACCATGTTTTATCACAAAATTGTGCTCTCCAGTGCTAAGTTGAGCCTGAAATAAAATGACGTTACCCCCTCGATCAGAAGAATGCTGCGGTCGTTTCAATACTCGTTGAAGTGACTGGATTGTCTTTGCAGCATCACGAAGCTCTTCAATCTCGGTCAACATATCTTCACCACAAAAATCCGAATCGTCCTAAGATACTATTGATTCATTTTTTTAAAATGTTTAACTAACGTCGCACTAAAATCAAAGTCAGAAAGTTTAGAATAAAGTATATCAGCTTAACAAACGAGGAAGAACCTAAACTCACCTGCGGCATGGTAGTGATTTTTGGAATCGAATTGAGCAATTTACTGAGTGCGATAATATCAATCTGAAGTAGAAGGAAGTATTTATTTCGCAGAAACAGAAGCAAATAATCACTAACAGAAATTCGCTGCTATGTGACGTCATTGATAACTACTGAGATTTATCAAATCTCCCCAACACCATCAATTGCCATATTTTTCGTAGTGATTTTTTTCTCCTACTCTCATGTGCTTTACTGATATGTCAGTTTTCCCAACGATATTGTATATGAACAGCTAAAGGGATTATATCGATTAAATTATAATAGGCAATAAATAAAAAGATTAACATTGTAATTTTGACTACAGCCTCGTCTTAACACGGTTAATTGCCGATCTCAGCTTTCCAGATCAAACCCGTTCACGGGTGACTGCTGATGGCACTGATCGATAGAACTAGCTGAAAGACATGCGAAACGAAGGACCCGCATGGTGTGATGGTGAACGCGTTAGCCTCTGGAAAGGGCAATAGCGCGTTCGTTGCCACAACAGACACCTGCAGTCCGGAGTTTTGCAAATATCTCAGCATCATTGTAGTTATATCGATAACATTTACAAGTTTAGAGCAAAACATCAAGAAAAGGTCGTAGTCATAATATTCAACATACCACTTTGGCCATAAGCCGCTAAATTTAAAAACCGAAGTCCCAAAACACCATAAACTGGGAATAATTCAATTCACTGGCCAGCTGTTGGGAAGATTCCGTTCCCGATAGCATCCAGGAAAAATACTATCGCCTCAAGATCTTCACATGCAGACAGGCGATAAAGGAAGATCTTAGAGAGAGAAGAGCAGCAGTAATGGCCGAAGCTGCAGAGGTTGGGAAAAGCATTCGCAAAGCCCACCGAAGCTTCGTCACTTACAAGACCAAGATGATTGTACTCCGACGCCAGACGGAACAGTTACAGCGTCCAGAAAGGCAGTGGAGAAAATCATTCACGAATACTACTCAGATCTCTTCGATAGCCACGTACACTCTCCGTCATATGAAACAAAGGAGTGGATATGTTGTACCACCGGTTCGCCCATCCGAAACCCGACATTCTATTTTGTCGCTGAAAAATCGAGCAGTGCGTGGTTCCGAATGGAAAAGAGCTGAACAGCTGAAGAAGCTTCTCCCGACTGTCGTCGTAAACACACTGGCTCAGCTGTTCACAAGTTACCTGTGTGAATGCAAGGTCCCTACTCAATGGAAGACCAGTAAGACCATGCTGTTGTTCAAGAAGGTGACCTCCACTATATCGGGAACTACAGCCCAATCTGCTTGCTGTCTGTCGTCTACAAACTTATTACTCGACTCATATTAATCCGGATTGACAGAACACTGGACGAAAGACATAACAAGCAGGGTTTCGAAAAGGATTTAGTACGATGGACCACATCCACACGATAGCAAGGCTCATTGAAGTGTCGCGAGAGTACAAAAGACCGCTCCGTCTCACTTTCATCGATTTAAAGAAGGCCTTCGATTCAGTTGAGATAGAAGCAGTCACGGAAGCCCTGAACAGTCACGGAGTCCCTACCTAGTATGTAAAAATTCTCCGTGAGCTATTTAAAAATTTCGCAGACAAGATATCACCATTCCACAATGATGTTATGATCGACATCAAAAGAGAGGATGGATAAGGTGATACCATCTGGCAAAAATTATTTACTGCCACCCTCCAGAAAGTTATGCGAACGCTGGAATGGGGTAACATGGGTGTGAAAATCGATGGTCGGCAATTACACCTTCTTCGCTTTGCTGATGACATCGCTCTTATAACAAAAGCATTAGCCAAACGGAACGAATGCTTGCCGACTTTAATAAAGCCTGTGGAAAAATTGCTCTTCGACTAAATCTCACAAAAACGATGTTCAACGGATTGGTTTCGTATGCCCATTAACGCTCAACGGAGCGAATATCTCCAAGTGCTCCAGTTACGTCTTTTTAGGTGGGGAAATCAATATGATAAACGACTTAGCTCCGGAGATGAGCGGAAAACGAGGGCCTGAAGGAGCTTTAAAGAGCATCGTTAGTGGATGTAATGAAAAGAGCAAAGAACACCCGACTCCGTGTCCATCTTTTCGACTCAACAGTGCTTCCTGCCTCCAGAAAGTTATGCGAACGCTGGAATGCATTAGAAACCTGGTCGCTGCGTAAGCAAGTTGAAAGATTACTCAGCGTTACTGAACGTTCAGTCGAAAGGACGATGCTAGGAATGTCCTGTGCCACGCAAGTGAAGTAAGGGATCCAAAGCTACGAGCTACGTCAACGATCGAAAATCTAAGCTGCCATTCTATACGCCAAAGAGTCGAAGATAAGATGGGCGATCCACCTAAAGCGTGTTAACGAAAACCGATATACAAGAACCGTTAGTTACTGGATTCCTCGGAACATCAAAAGTACTGCAGGAAGACCACCGATCCGATGTTTATAGTTCTTCAAGAAAACCTTGGAGAAAAGGTGCCATGCTCTACAAGTCTCTAAGGAAAACAGAACCCCACTGGGCTGCTCCTGCATGCGACAGGGAAAAATGGTACATTTACTGATGCCCGCTCAAATCACTCGACGATCAACGGGATGACAAATGATAGAAATGGTTGAATGTGCAAGAAAGCCGAATGAAGAGCAGTAAAGCTGATGGTAAGAAACGTAAGGTCTCTATTCAGAAGCCTATTCAGGTGCAGCATGGTACGTCTTAGTTCAGCAGGAGACATAGTTCGCCAAGGATGACACCCACTTGCAATTTCTAAAGGTTGTAGCTCCTTTCGTAGCAGCCTTAAAATTTTGTTGAATGTCTATGTCAGCGCTGCTAAGAAAAAAGTCCTTACAAATCCGTAGTGTGTCACTTAGGGAGAGGATCATTTGTAGCCCTATGAGTGGTTAAGACGACGTATCAAAGAATTTAAGCGTCCCAGTTACAGTTTTTGACAATATTATTGATCACGTGCGATTTTTTCATAACCACAACAGAAACTAAAAGTATGACTACGGAATCACGAAATATGTTTGCTTTCCAATGTGAGGAAAAAAGCGTGAAGGTCTCGGCGTTGATCAATCCCTAAGGTGTATGCCATACATTCGGCTTCACCGTTTGGAGATGATTGAATGCACATCTGACCTTTACAATGACTTGCGGTGGCCTAGCGATGTATCAAGCCAGTGCTGCTATCCTACCAGACAAGTCTGGTACCAATTTTCCGAACCCATAGGGATCGAAGAATTGGTGGGCTAGGGGCGCGTGGAACGATTCCACGTATGTGTTGCAGGCCGCTTCCGTCCACTGCGCCATACGCGCCCGCAATATGAGGAAAGTTCCCAAAAAAAATTCCTGCCGTATTTGGAATATCCATAAATAATCACTAAATGGATCACAAAATAAATTCTTATTGCTCACGAGTAAACGGCTATAGCAAATGATTCGCGAGCTACGATTTTTTCGTAACGTATGAAACATATTTACTGATAATATCACTCCACAGAGGGCGTATGTAGCACAATGGTTAGAGGTGCCTTTGAATACAAAATGGAACGGTCGCTGGTTCCATCCCGCGGTCCAATCTCACCAAGGTTTCGATCCTTTTGGGATCGGAGAATTGTTACCTTACTTGTCTGGAAGGGGAGAAGCACTGACTTCACACATCAGTAGACGACCGTAAATTATTTTGAGGCGGATATGTAATCAAACACACCAACGATGCTAGATGAAGTCGAATGCATGTGGTATCTCTCAGGAATTGATCAACTCCGTACACCTTACTCTTCCAACCTTATACCATCTGACATCATATCTGTAGGTGTTCCTGGACATCAGACTGCGATGTACAGCTGGGTTCATTCTCAACATTGTCCTTTTCCTAACAAGGAGCTCGACATTTCCACTTGGAAGTCTAGTCAAACGTAAATTAATGGCAGGAACCTTTTTGGTACTGACTGATGGACTAATAGTGGAGAAAGATGTCCACAACTCGTGTTAAGAGCTTTTAAGCTGCTCTAAAACGGCAAGCACTTTCTAACGACTGGGTAGAAAGAAAATGGCTCAGTGCAATGTGTTACATCCATGATTACGAAACTCATTAATGTATAGATAAAGTGCAAGACTCATGCGAACTCATATTATAATTATTTCGAAATGAGTCTTGAATTCCACTGCAGTGTCTGGCCAGGCATCTTTGCCTAATAAGGGAAGATCCCTCATGAACAAGAGAAAAAATGCATAAGCAGAACTTCCCCACTCTGCAGTATCAACGCTGTTCTCGTGAAAAAAAGCGATACGATACGATATCGTCTTGTCAAAACTATTTATCGTCACGAGGGCAGCGTATGAAAACTGGAACTGGGAAGTATTGAAGTGAAAGTCGATGTTGAAAAGCTACACTATTTCCTATTCGGTGGTGCTATCGCTCTCATAACGCTGAACATTCGTCAAGTGGAATAATTTCAATAGGGCGTTTGGAATACACGATCCACAGCTAAACAGAAAAAGAAACGGTTTATGACCAGCGAATTTTTTTGATTTTCAGAGTTACGTGGGTTGGAGGGAATAAGTCATGACTTCCGCAAAGGCGTCCATAAAACACTGAAGAGTGAAGAGGACGCTCAAATATGCCCCCACATCTTCGATATGACAACTCGTCCTACTTTAGTGTACACTTAGAAAACTTAGACTCTCCACAAGCAAGATTTAAGGAGTGTCATTTTGTTGGAGAACCTGCTGAAGCAAAAAGAATGTCATATGTGTTTCTTACCACTCCAGTGACAAAGTGAATCCAAAATTCCAATCTATGTCGTCGAGCAAAAAGCGTTGACGCTGCAGCACATGAAAATCAGGTGTGTCGGACAAGTAATACATCTTAGCCACAACAACGAGACAGGAACCGTTGGCGAATGGATATCATGAAACATCAAACGCACAAAAAACAGATCATCGGCTCGATGTCCTGACCTCTTGATGTTTACTCGAGAGCACAACCTACTGATGAGCTCTGGTCCACGCGACAGTGAAGAATAAGGGTTTTGTTGGTGTCCATTTCACTCTAGATTGTTTGATTAAGTACAAGTTTTGACGAAGTGACTCTAAGTAGTTAAGAAGTTTACAACTTTTCAAGTAACATGAATGAAAGATCTAGTTGAAACTCATGAGTTGATAGAGTAATGTGTTATTTACTACAGAAGGATGGTAAAGGATTGGACGGCTTGACAAACCGTAGCCAAAGAGTCGAAATAACGACCATTTGCTTCTTGCAGAGCATCCGTAATCGTGCTACACACCTAATACTAGAACTTAGTAGTTGGAATAATATAAAGAGTGTGAAATTTGTCCGAGCACGGTTAGCTACGCAGTGTTCGGTACCTTGAAGTTAAATGTTGTCGTGTCTTTAGATAATTTTCTGCTTCTCTCATGAAATTCTGAGCGTGTACGTTTCTTCCAGTAAGGACTAAAAAATACCTGCGATCCTATTTTATCAGTTTTTATAACAGTTAATTCATAATTCATAAAACTGTTAGGTGGCCGTCGTTGAATGTCACTGTAGAAGGGAAAAATCTTGATGGCTGTTTTGTTAAACAACGCATAAACACTCTTTACACATTAATTAGCGATTCCTTGAGCTTTGAAGACTTCAATGGCCCTTTTCATTTTAACAGAATTGGAATCGTCTTTGCTAAAAGTGAATCACTGTGGAATCTTACACTGCTGCGATATCTTAACGAGTTTCGTAGCCACAGGAATGCCATTTGAAGTGAGGCGATCTTATTAATGATCGATCCAAAACCCAGTTAACCGGTAGATAAAGTATGTCGGATAATATGGCGAACTCCAAGAGGCAGCAGAGACGGCTACTGCCAACAGTACATCCTTTTCTGTTCTGTTCGATATCCTCATCAGGAGTCCTAGAGAATCTTCATAACGCTCCTCCACTAAGAACCACGTAATTCATCTCGTAATTAGTAGTATTTGCAATTTGTCCTTACATGCTACGAAACCAGGAAGAATGAGAAAAATACGAAACTACTGCTAAAAGGATAAAACATAAAGCATTCGGCGTTGATCAATCCCTAACGAATACGCCACACATTCGATTTCATCAAGCACTTTAGAGGTCATTGAATTCATGTGCGACCATGACTTGCGGTTTCCTACCGGTGCATCAAGTTAGTGTCACCATCCTCCCAGCAAATTTGGTACTAATTTGGCTACCACAGAAGAAAAAAGGCTTGGCGAACCTCCCTAGTGCGGGATTAAACCGATAACCACGTGTGTATTGCAGAGCACCTCTAACCGTTGGGCTACACGAGATCTTAAACTAACTCAGTACAGATCCTTTCACAATTCAATCTTCTAGACAGCCCAAATATTTAAGCACTATTTTTAGTAGCGCTTGCTATAAGCCGAAATATATGTCTTATAGTTGAAGGCCTGATTGTTTTCGGCTCTGTATGATGGGTCTATGAGTCAGTATGTGCTAATAACTCAGTTATCCAATTTTTCTTCGTTGCTTCCTCTTCACTCATCCAAAAAAACTGAGTACTAACCACACCCATTCCTTCGACATTCGGTTCGCTGTTCGTCTTCCGTAGGTGTCTACGACCCACACTTGGCTCTCGACTGCTCCTTGCCATGCTTCGCCGATTCTTCTCCTTCTCACCATAGAGGTTGAAATCCGAACGTCTCCTTAAATCATCAGTGTTTTTTCATGGAATAAAAACTAGGGTAACGACAAGAACAACGACGATGACAACAGCAGCAGCTATAACAACTATGAGAAAGTGGACACTGGAGAAGACCTGGTCAAATTGCTAATCCTAACCATATCTAGCAACTGCCTTGATACAAAAGAAACCTGCTTTTCATTGGGCAATCGGTTCATTCAAATGATCGGTGTGAAATGCATGCCGTGACTAGTTGGAATGCTCATTCCTCCCGAACAGCAGCAAGAGTCAACTTCGATGAAAAATGACATCAATTTCTCTAGCACCTGACCTGCTCATAGCTCTATAAGTGCCAAAGCCCACTTTTTATTGCCAACGAATAGGAAAGTGAGAAGCATCCTACGGAGAATGGAATACGAAAAAACTCTAAAGTAGGATAATTTAAGAAATCAAGAGGTGTTAAACCTTTGCACGACGATGCCTAATTTAATGTCGTTACGAACCCGCTGGTTTTTGGAATATAGGCGATAACAATTCGATAGCCAAGTAAGTTATCGGATTGAGTACACCACAGACTTATAAGGAAAAACTTGCTTCATCGCTAGGTAAGAGATGTATTCATGCTTCTACTTATTATATATGGCGCTCCGAACGGTTTACCGCCTCATTGTCGGTGGGAGGTGTTCCTGGCTGTCGGGCTGCGATGTACAGCGGGAGATTCACCACCCCGGCAGGGCCTCCCAAGGAGTCCAGCGTTCTCATCAGGAGGCCTAGCTTAGAGTGAACCAATAGCAGGATCCACCACCATCTTGGTACCAAGCTAGTCGTATGGTGGCAAATCGCCATATGATCCAAAAGGGCAGCGACTGCTTGTGGTGGTGACGACTAGGGGTCTGGTTAACCTCAGAACTCCAGGAAATCACAATGGCTATACCACCAAAACTCCAAAAATAGAGATAATAGTGGGGTCCGCACAACCAGTGAAGACGGGCTATCGAAGTATCCAATTCAGCATTATAAATATTATCCTTATCCTTCATATAAATAGATTACTGTCAGAATTTAGAAGTGTTTTGCAGATTATGTTGGGTCCACTTCTGTATCTTAGGTACATGACCATTCCATGCGATTATGATTCACTACAGGGATCAGGATTGAAGTCATAACCAGTTATCAGTCAAATTATATGTCAATGCACTCATTCAAGAAAAAAGTTCAAGTGCAGGACACAACATTCCCCACCGACAACACACCACAATATCATTGTGGGGTAAGAGCATATATATAGAGCTCATATGGGCCATTGTGTACTCTAACAGTTGGCTCCCATAGAGGTCACCTTGTCATATAAGTGTTAAATGAAATGACTCCTGACCTGTCGTTTCGCTCGTTAATGAGACTAAAAAAATAGGCTGTTGAAAAAGTATCTGGTTTAATGTAAACAAATCGAATCACGAGGAAAACACACCTCGGATGATCTCTTAACAAATTCCGTGTGCTTGGTGATACGGTAGCCGATCGGTGTCGGGTCCTTGCTGGTGAGTCGGTCGAATCCGATGAATCTGAATCATCTGCATCGTCTGGATTGAGAAGACGAGTACTCATCGCTCGCACAAACGATCTCAACTAAATCACTTCAAATTATCGGTCCGTTATTATTCTAATTTGAACAATTGTCGATAATCGTTGAATTCATCTCACCAAAACATAAGGACATCTATAGAAGAAAACAATACAAAAAACGATAACTGAGTAGGCATCCAAAAGGCTTGGATGCAAAAAACTAATGTTCTATAATCTATAGCTGATTAAATAAAACCGCGAGGATTCTGAGATATGAGGAAAGCTCGGAACCTCAAGTGAGCTTCGAACTCGCGATTGCTTTTTCAGGAGGCCGACATACTGCCCACCACACCAACTGAGGTACTTGTTTGCCTTTCTGTCAGCAAGCTTTTTCTTAGTCTAACGTGGTGGAATGCTGAAGCTGAACTGGGCTCAATGTTGATTTGTGCTTCCTATATCCGCTCACGAGTTATTGCTGATAGCACCGTTTGGGTAGAAAGAAAGGTCGAAAAAAGGGCAAAGCAAGGGCAACGTTTGATGAGTTGGATAGCAATTGATCCCACGGTAGGAGCAATCGCGGGATCGAAGGCCAACTATGGTTCCGCGTTTTGCTCATACCACAGCATCCATTGGTTGTATTCACATTATACGCTACTGTGAAAAAAGAATAGGCAGTAAATAAAAGTCAAAACGTTCTCATTAAATAACGTTTAGGACTTTGTAGCTTGATTTTTCTGTGTCGCTGTGATACCAAAGTGTACAGCAAAAGTCCTTGCTGCATATACATCAAACCACCACGGTAGCCCCTAAAAAAGAGTTTGGTGTCTGCCACTGGAAGCCTTAGGTTATGACAGAGTCCGATGAGTCACCAATATCAGGGTGTAGAATGGGATTTTTCGTGCTCCTCAAACTCTTGGAGCCTATAGCTCGATAGCCCTCTATGGAGACTTCACAGGCGTTCGCCTGAATGCGGAGGATGGTGAGAAACTGGCGAAATCGTATCAGTCATCACTTCTTAGCCAGCAGAAGGCTACTAATTTACCTCAGCAAAACTTTCGTAATGCCAGTAAGCCATAAATTTCTTTCGTTTTATACGACACGTCTTTCACATCTGTTGTGCAGATCCTACCACTTCTCAAATTCGATTCGTTTGCTCACACCCATCATCCACGAAGGTCTTCCAACTTTTTACGTGTACCTTCGGCTGCTGCTTGAGGATTCTTCTTTCATTTTGGATGTCGTTGAATGCTGCCTTAGTCGATTCTCCCTGGAGTATTCAAATAGCAGGGCTAAAGCGTCAGTTGAACTATTGAGAGTGATTTTTTTCGGACAAGTCCCGTACCAATGTCCAGACCCCTGAAGGATTACCACTGTGCTATATGCCCCTACAAATTAAATAAATCATAAAGCAAGAAAAAAATTGCAACGGCAACCAGAAGCAAAGCCGAGAGTCTTGGAATGCAAGTTTATAGAGGCTCTTTGTCAAAAACAGTGTAATAAAAGTGCACTTTATAGAAATTTTGGAATCCAATGACTAATAACAATCGCAGCATATTAATACTTAAGTGCTTGGCTCTCACACGTCATCCAGATTGGGGAGTCCTTCTATAAGTCCCTTGTGTTGCAACCGTCATCCATGAAGATGGTTCTGTTGGCATATGCGCTGGGTTGCAGCTTAATGACCAGCTGTTTTCTTTCCTCACCGACATACTTCTCCTTAGTCAAACATGGTGTTCGCTAGCATAAAAGCCATGCCTTAGCGTTCTGCCGATGCCCGTACCACAAGCCGCAGTCGCTTGCCATTGTAGATAGAAGGCAACATTGCTATGGTTCTTCTAGGACGGCAATGATTTCTACGATTAGTCGATCGACCTATCGAAGATGACTTATCGAGGTGTCTAAAAGACTATTTTTAACCCAATTATTTAGGAGCCAATTGCGAATGGTTAACCTACGACAAACGAAAAACGAAATGAAAAGTTTAGTTTAGTACAGCGAACACTATTCGTATTAAATGAATTGTCAAAGAAAAATGTAGAAAGTAACAGTGGAAACGATTCAGGTACATAAATATGACACTTAAAACTTCTAAGCAAAGAAAAAAAGAGAAAAGGAAAAAGAAGAAAAAGAGTTTGTCTTTTAAGGAAAAAAAAAACGCCTCGCTAATTTAGCTAACATACACCTAAAATCCGAAGCCTCGTGGAGTATGGCTGTGTAGAAACGAACCAGCGCTGATGTTAGCACAATAAGTGTTGTTCTGCGCAAAATTTAGAAAGTGAAGATGATCGCATTCTTTTGGTTGTTTGCCATTGAAAAGTGTTTATAGATGTCGAAACTATGGTGTACAATAGGGAGTTTATCACGAGCAGGATTGTTAAGTTGTGAAGCACTTCGCTATTTCTATCGCGATGCAAAGTACAAGCAAACCAAGCCGAGAAACGCTGCCATCTTGGTAGCAACCTGTGAAGCAGTGAATATCTGTGAAAAGCCTAGCATAACTTTCGAACTCCAAAAAAAGAAAATCTTCCCTAATCATCGAATTACCACAGAAACGGACGTTGTATTGCATCGTGAGGGAGATCTCGTGACTATCATTCAAGCATCCTCCCAACAGTCTATTACCTCATCGTGGCTGAAAAGTGTTCCTGGGTGTCGGACTACGATGTACAGCGAGGTTTCATCTCCTGGCAGAGTCTCCCAAGCTGAGAAAGAGTCCGGCGTTTCCATCAGGAAGCCTAGCCAAGAGTAAACAAATACCAGGATCCACCACCGTCTTGGTATCAAAGTCGCATGGTGGTAAATCTCTCCCTGATCCACAAGGGCTGCAACTGCCGTGGTGGTGAAGACCTGGGCCAGACTTTGGCCAGGGTGACCTCGGGACTCCAAGAAACCATAATGGCTTAACCAGCAAATCTCCAAAATATGGAGATCATGCTGGGGCCCGCACAACCAGTGAGGAAGGGCTATTCAAATGTCAAGTGTCATGTATCATTCAAGCATTAAGTTATTCAAACAGGCAACTAAGTTTACCGATATTCAAAAATGAAGTGGATGAGATTATTAGAATACTGGTATCGTTAGCCGGTCGAAATTGCTCCAATCGATGTGCATCTTGCAGAGCCAGAGTGATATAGGAGGAACAATTGTCAGCCGTTCGGGCTGTTCGCCCATCCTATGGTCACTGCACGGCTGCTGTCGTCGGTTCGTCCCAGTCGTCAACCAGGATGTCATGCTAAGCCAGGGTTTGCAACCGTGTACATCCGTTCATCCTCGTCGCAACGATAAAGGAATGGTGGTATACCTTCTGGTCAACAGCTTTTTTACGGTCCCGACGATCACTACAACCGTCTAAATGCATGTCTTCATTCAGGAATGCTTTTAGTATCCGCTTTACCATATGGAATGCGACTCTCATGCATGAATTCTACTTAGATGTCATAAAACGGTATTTAGCCACTTTGTCAGTCAATCTTCATGGATTATTTTGCGTTAACCTAATATGCCAAGTCAGTCTTCGATTCTTTAGTATTCTCATAGTTGTCTTCTATGAAGACAACATATATCATGAAGATACAGTTCACCAATCTCATCTTCTGCTTCCGAATACCAGTGAGCTTGCTAGTTTTGTGTAGATGACCTTCTTCGAAGCTGTGTGGACGTCATTGTTGTTCCCTTCGCTGTCTTTTCTTTCTTGTCATCAGTTATCGTGAACTAATTACAACATTTGCTTTTTCGCGCCAAATGTGCCGATACGTTATCAGTGTTTTAAATCAACAACACGTGATATTCGTCGAAACTATCAACTGCATAGGTGCTGAAGTCGCTGTTTACAAAGTCTGTCTTATCTCAGCTGTTAGGCTATATGTCATCAGAAAGCTGAATGTACTTTGTCTTCTAATTTATTTCTATCAAAAGACTAGTTCATAAGAAAAACAAAGATTTGACATAGTTTTTTTCCATCAGTCTGTATAATATTGTTCATCTTTCAAGAACTCAAATTGGGATAGTTGATAGGGATAATTATGGATAACATAGCGCTCGTTGCGTTGATAAATTTCAATACGCATTCATTCCTCCTAGCAGTGCTATCTTAGTGAAGTAATGTTTTTGTCCTTCTAGATAAGTTCGGTACCAATCTGAGAAAATAGGGGACGGCTCATTTATCCCGGAGTTCAGGATGTCTAGGATCGAACCAACGACAATGTGCGTACGGCAATGCACCCTTACGCTGCACACACACTAATGTTGCGAAGTTAAAATTCTAAAACACTGACCTTCAATTA